AGTTTTTTATTTATAAATTTTTGATATTTTGTTGTACCTAATACAAAAACTAATAATCATGGACACTTGAAATTTTCAACAAATGTTAAAATGCAGTGCCGGCGCTAGGTATTGCGGGGCCCTGGTCATAGGTAATAGCCTTTAGGTTCTCAGAGAGAGTAGTGAAATTTTAGCTTTTTTTAAATCAGGATTTTAAAAAAAGTACTGTTTTTATATATAATATAGGTAAATAATTAAATTTAAATAATGCTCTGTCAATTCTTAATGAATCAAGATATTTTAATGAAACAAAAATCAAATTAAAGCTTATTTTTATCTTTGTTATTCACTTGCCCCATATATAATTTTATGTAATACTAATAGCAAAAACAATCCGATTTTGCACTTGCCCCATGAAAAGGGGCAAGTGTGACGTTTTAAAATTAAAAAAAAAAAAAAAATTATTCTTAGGTGAGTGATAATATAACTTTGTTGACTATAAATTCCAATTATGTATATCTAGAGGTGTTACATTATGGAACAATAACAACTTTAAGTTAAAAACAAAAAAAGTATTGTCAAATTCAAAATTAACTTTTCATTTTTGCGTCACACTTACCCCACTTTACCTTACCTACTTGAGTAAACGGAGGCAACACATTCGAGTGCGATTCCTCCTGATGAAACCTCGCTCAGCACAGAATTATTGGCGTAGCGTGAGTTTCAGTTAAACCTTTGAGTGGAAAATCGTAGGCTAATAAATTCATAAGGGCTGGTTATTTTATTAATTTACATTTATTTTAACAACTACATAAAATCATCAATTAAAAATAAATTAATTCATCAAAATGTTTGAATAAAATAATAAATTGTTTAATATCTAAGTACGCGACCGCTGCAGCCAGAATAATGCAATATACGACGGTAGACCACGGTATTCGTATCAAGATGATAATTAAAAATCACGGGGCCCTTTAACAAGCGCGGGGCCCTGGACAAATGTCCCATTTGTCCTCCCCTAGCGCCGGCACTGTTAAAATGAGTTAATAAGACCATTTTTTATGTATTGTAATATTTTCAAAAAATGTTTACTCTTTATGAGCTGGGTCTAGTTCGTTTCGCCGCCCTCATTTCGCCGCCACTGTTTCGCCGCCGTTCATTTCGCACCCGGACTATTCGCCGCGATCGTTTCGCCACGATCGTTTCGCCGCTGCTTTTAATACCGTTTACATAATAATATGACGAGTTGTGTTATAAAATTATTTACTTATTCATATTGTTTGAGGTACAATATACCATAAACCCCCAGAAAGGGGGGGAGCAAGCTGGATCATTTCCCCCCCCTGGCTTTTCGGACATTTTTTTTAACTGCAGAATGTATTAGGATTAATGAGTATATCATAACAAAATGAAAAGTCCTTAAATCCTAACATTTCCCCCCCACCATATAAGAATGTTTGAGGCACTTATGCAATATACTTTAAGTCTATTTGCACCCTTGCCTCGCTGTATAACTTATATACCCATAATTATATTTTAGGCCCCGCAAATCGTCAGGACGGTCCAGCCCGCAATCGTTTCGCCGCCTGATTATTAGACTATAAACCTTGAGGCTTGAACATCATTTGAAACCACTATTTTGGTAATTTAATTGTTCTCCAGTTTTTTTCCTTGTAAGCCGGGGTGGCGTTTAAAGTTCATAATTTTGTTTTTAACAATAATCTAGCAGAAATATACAAATAGTACGATCACCTGTTTATTTACAGTTATTTTACTGTATCAGAATGAATAACCAATAACATTTATGGTGGTATATAATATATGGGTATCCTAATGTTTTTTTAATAATAATGAACCCACCACCTATATTCAAATTCAATATGTCTAAATGAGTACAGTATGCTATACATAAATTGATAAATACTAAAGGTATGTACGAGATGTAGATATTCATATTTGTATTATACTATTATGGAAAAAGCTTTTTGCAATATACATAGTACATACTACAGCTGGTAATAAAAAAACTAAACAAAACGTGCAAAATCGATCAGCAGTTTCAAATTGTTCATTCTACTTACTTACACATCGTTAATTGTTACCATACAATATTTAAAAAAATATATACCTAACAACTAAACACTGAGTTTAATATTTTCTATATAAAATAATATGTAGGTATGGGCACTGCGAAAAAAAGAATAAAATTAAAATTAATATTGAATGGTATTGCAAATATTTTATTTTACCTACACGGTGCACCCCATCCCTCTGACAAAATTACTGATAGCCTTTATGTATGTAAGTAATAACTACTATTTAGTAATATTCAAATATCCTACTCGGGGTTATGATTTACTGATATATCTTTCATAGATCGCAGTGCACGCAATAGTAATAATATTTTATTATAATCATTTGTTGAAAATTTGAAGTATCTATCTTTAGTCAGTTTTTGACAAGTTGTTTTATTGATAATACAATCAATACACTTTGGTTTTTGAATTACAACAAAATATCAAAAATTGTTGAGGAGAAATGGTTACTTTACGATTGAATATCTATTGTACCAACTAGATTAACTTTCCTATCAGAAAATATACTGAAGTAATACTGTAATAGTATTTAGAATCAATGACAGTACGTCAGTAGGTACCTACTTTTTATTAAGAACTATTGGTTATTTATCGTAAAACTATTAATTAAATATGTATTGGGGTGTATTAACGTAATCACACTAGATACAGTGCACACGGCACACCACTGCATGCTACGAAAAATAGGAAGTCATCTTTTTTATATTTGTACAATATATTTTAGATTCTGAGCGGAGCGAAAGAATGTATTGATTTTACAAAGATGTGTTTTTGTTTTTTTAATTTTTTTTTCTGTCTGTCAGCAACAATTTGGATAGTTAAAATGATCCAATTTTCGAGATCAGCATCTTTTTAGATTTTCGAAATATTATGACTATTTTTGAGCTAGTAATGGCCTTGATAAATTTTTAGAAATTTGTAATTTTTTTAAATTATCTTCGATACAATTGTTTTCAATTAGTTAAAAAAAACTTTATATTTTAATACAAGGTTATTCTGCATAATAATTTTTATATGCATTTAAAGTTCAAATTTTGACAAAATTCATCAAAATATCGAAAATTTTCAAACTAATTTTCGGTTAGAAATTCATAAAAGTTTTTCTTTTCATAGCTAACATTAGAAATGTTGATAGTAGACTCCCCACAATTGTTCCTACCTTAAATAATAAAAGAGTTTACCGGAAACCAACATTAATTTTATATGAGCGTTTGAATTTAAAATTTTTACTATATTAGATTTTTATCGATTAATTAACGAATTACTCAATTTTTGATATTTTGTTGTAATTCAACTACAAAATTATCCTAGATACTTGAGATTTTTACCAAATGTTAAAATGACCATTTTCCAAGCATCGTAATATTTTCAAATAATTTTGACTTTTTTTAAACTATTTAAGGCCATAAGACATTTTTTAAATGTTGTTAATTTTTCAGTTAGAAATTCATAAATGTTTTTCTTTTCATAGCTGAGATAAGACGTTTTAATAGAAGATTTTCAATTTGTTTTTTCATCTCTATCAAAAAAAAAAAAGATTTTTTTATAGCTCTAAGATATTTTTGATTTTTATACATTTTTTTTTTAATATTAAATTTGATTATTTATACGCATATATGACACAACGTCTCCGCTCAGAACCGTTTTTCTTATACAATGATTTATTATTGTATTCAAATATAACACATCCATTACAATGACATGCTCGACAACTACTGTACAGCAGAGTGGTACCCACTTGTCCACCTTTTTACACTTAGGAGTAGGATTATGATTACCCACCAATGTTAGAGGGACACCAGGTAGTTCATTATGAATAAGTAATGTTAATATGAATCTTATGACTTATTATTGATAGAATGATACACTGCCATGACGGAACCGGGGATGCTAAACGACACAATATGTTGACCGATATTATAAAAGCGACAACAAACAACAGACAAAGTATTAGTTTTAAGTATCTACAATTTTTAGTTTTTAAGTTAAAAAAATTGATTTTGGTCGAATACTGATTTTGAGTAAAAATTATATTTTAATGTAGGTTTTTTGGTTTTTTACGACACATTTCAAAACTGTTGGATTTTTTTTTAATTTTGACCTCCCTAGCTATTGTATAAAGTAGATTTATATTCAATTTTCTACTGAAACCATAACTGAAGTTCACTACGTTCAGAATTTAAAATACCTATGTTATTTTTATTTACTAGCCCCAAATGATCTAAAAAATTTGCCGCTCCGATAAACAAGGTAAATCCCCCCTCCTAAAAACGAGCCTAGGTATAGAGATCTATTATTTTTTTAAATTGGAAGAAATAACGTACTACACTATAAAACAAAAAAAATCCAAATTAAGGGTGCTGGGAAAACTACGTATAATATCAGCGTGTGCCAAAGTGTCACAAGTTCTTTAAATTGACAGATATTTATATAACAATAATTTATTAGGTAGTCATTAGTAAGTAGTTTAGTAAAGTACCTATACCTATGAGACGGAAATGGAGGCTAGAAATACTATACGCTTAAGTGGCTCATAATAACCATTTAAGCACAGGAAGTTGGAAGATTAAAAGTACCATGGTGAATTTATGTTTATATTTACTCTAATTGATTTTATATATTTTATTATTATGTGACAATATATAAGATTATATAGATAATAGGTTACTAGTATCTTTAATCGTGGTTTATACTAATGGAGTGGCGGTGTGAGTTATTAAATTATATTAAGGTAACTTTTTTTCAATTATATTTATAGAGTTTTAGGTATATACAAAATAATTTCATTCCTAATCAATTGATTTGATTTTAATGAAATTCAATCATCCTCTGTCCATCTGTACAACTGTACACTACACAGGTCTTAGTTTGCAGTTTTTAATTTTTGGTTTTTGTGTTCTAATTCTTATATTTTATAACGATAATATGGAAGTGCTTACAAATCGAAACAAACCAATATTTATCCATGAAGGATATCAATATATTTTCGATAAATTTGGGGCAGACCAAGTCACTAAATTTTATAGATGTCGCAGACGTGACATACATTGTAAAGGGCGCATCATGGTTAGTATCAATGGTGTCATTGAAGTCACTGGAAATCACGGAGGTTATGATGAATCACCAGTAGGAATAGAAGTAAGTGGAATTCTTAAGTATCAAATAGGTGAATAGGGTTGAATAGTGATCAGTGATAGATCCAGTGAAGTGGGAGGGGCGATTGGGGTGATCCCTCCCATTATAAAAAAAAAGTCAAGAAGTCCCCGTTATTTGACGTAATTATTTCAAGGATAGGCCTATTTATTTTGTGTCCTTAAAAAATCGCCCCTCCCTTATCTTGGTCAGGATCCACCCATAAAGAGATACGATTATGGCAAACATAATCAATAATTGGTTGTTAGTATTAAATATCTTGTATTTAAATACTTTGTAAATAATATGTTTTTTAATATTATAGATAGCTAGGACGATAACTAATGTAAAAAAAAGAGCTATGGATACAATGGAGGCGCCAGCTGTGGCCATTAATCAATGTATAGGTAATTATCAACAAATATTAAACTACTTAAATAATTTTATTTTAGCCTAACCAGTAACCAAAATTATATTTAAGAGGAAGTTATACCAGCTTTTTGACAGTCTTGCAGACGTTTAAACTGTAAAATGAGAAATTAAAGTTATTTGACTAGTGATTTTGATGTAGACCTATAATTATATTTAATAAAATATTCTGTCACGAGTTATTCACGAACTGTATAATTTTAACGCTAATGTAAACGTTTGGTAAAATGTTAAAGTATTTACCACGATTCGTTCTTAAGTTACAATAACATAAAAAAATAAATTTTGTCAAAATCTTGTTTCGCATAAAACTTTCAGTTTTTCTGTTACTTTTTTATGGTTTTTCCTGATCCCCCCCCTACAAAGCATCAGCTAGATTCGCTTTCCTATCAGAAAAGCTACTGAAATCAAAAATAGAAGCACTATGACTGCTCCAAAACGTGATAGCAGACACAAAAATTAATAAATAACAAAAAATACACATCATTGTAATATAATTATATTCATCAGTTCATCACTCCGTTCAGAACCTAAATGTATTGTTATTTGTAACGCCCTATTTGTAAGTGAAAAGGTAATGTAACGGGATACAAATAATGTTTTTTAACGCGAATATAATTTAAATAACAATATTTAATGTACTAGTTAACGAGTAATTATTGTATTATTTTTCAAAAGTAATTTATCCAACACTGAAATTTAGGCATAAGTCATGTGTTTACAAATTACTATTTATTTTGAATAATTATATTATAAAAATAGGTATTAGTATGTAATTTACTATGTCTGTAACAAAAAACTTAGAATTTAATTTTAATGTCAACCGGAATTTTTCTTTTTTTTTAATTTTGTTAAAGTTCAACTAGTTTAACATTACTTGCATAACATTTAATCGTAAAATATATTTTTATAGAACACTTAACAGTTGCTGGAAAAGGTATGTTATCATCTGTTAACAATCTTAAGCAAGTACCTACGGAGAGTTCGGCGTCATAATGGTCCGCAAATTCCCGTTGCTCCATTAACACTAATGGAATTAGAAATTCCCGAGGAGTACAAACAGTATGAAGTTGAACCTGGGTAATTCGAAAATTTTCTGCTCTGTGACACTGGACCTGGCCCTAATAGGGTTATTATATTTGGTCGCCAAAGAGGATTGGAGGTATAAATGTTAACATATTTTTTATATGATTTTTAGATTATTACGAACAAAATAAATGGTTTGTTAAAACATGATTTTATATTTAAGAAGTCACCCCACATGCGGTGTCTCTGTCTTACAAACGTCTGTCTAACAATTGTTCGTTTGAATAATTCATTTAACTCTGTCATGTTTTAGATTACAGTGAATTATCTATTATACAATTTAAACATAAGAATATTACCCATAGTGAACAGTATAGGTTTTTTTATATTTTTAGTGTAAAGTGAGTCATGACTCATGAGCATTTTAAAAAACCTAATTGTTTGTACAATACAAAATACGCATAACTCACTTAAAAATAAAAACATAAAAAATAATCTATTAGCTTGACTAGAGAATATTCTTATTTATTCTGAACGAAGTGATGAATGTATTGATTTTACTATAATGTGTTTTTTTTTTTTTAATTTTAAATTTTTAAATTGTTTGTGTCTGTCATCGCGTTTTGGAATAGAAATAGTGCTTCAATTTTCGGAAAAGTGAGGAAAGTGAATCTATTTGGTACCTTGGAGGGGGGGGCGACAAAAGTGAAACATTTTCAATAGTTTTCAAAAGCGTCAGGAAAAACCCTAAAAAAGTAACGGAAAAACGGGAATTTTTACGCAAAACCAGTTTTTGACAAAATCGATAACTTTATTTCACTATAACTCAAAAAAAATTAATTGTAAATACTTGAAATTTTCACCAAATGTTTATATTAGCATTGTCTATACACGGTTAAATGTTTAAAGTATTTTAACTTATTTTGAGCTATTTATAAGCAATTTAAATTTTCAAATTTTCTAAGTATTTTTTTTTTGAAATATCGATTAAAAAAAATCTTGAAAATTTAATATAAGTGGTTCTTATCAGAGATAAAAAAAATAAAAATCGTAAGTCACAATTTTTTTCTAAGCGCTTAAAGTTCAAAATATTACGATATATGTCAAAATCGCGAAAATATAATATATGTAATTTGGTAGTTAAAAATTGATAAAATTGTTCTTTTATACCTAAGATTTAAAACTGTAACACAAGGTTATCTATATGTTTTCTTTCGAATAACTATAAAAAAAACTCGAGCGTAATTTTAGATAACATTTTTATGAACGTCTGAAATTTAAATTTTTACAAAATTGTGTACACAGAAAGAAATACCGCAGTTAAAGTAATAAAAATTGAGGTTAAATCAACAAAATAATGATTAACATAGGGCCAACAGGGAATTTGTTATTATGAAAATTATTATTTTGTTGATATAACAACATTTTGCCCTGTTAATTTAATGCTTGATTCAACAAATTATTCTGTTGTTTTGAAATAATACGCCGTTAACATTATTGTGTTTATTAATGAAATTATTTGTTGAATTAATCTAAACTTTGTAAGAACAAATTGTAGTATTTTTAAATCAACAAGATATTTTTTTATTAAATCATCAATTATATAACCATTGATTTGAAAATTGTGGTTTGTTCATTTTAAAATTATACCTGCATGCATTGATGTAATTATGATTTCTTTTTGGTCCCTATTTATTTTAGGGGGGGGGGGGGCAGGTATCATCAATTTATACACTATACCTATAAAAGTTAAAATATAGAAGAAAATTTGAAGACATTCATATACGTATGAAAAAAATAGCATCAATTATATTTGTACCTATACTTAATTACAAAATCAAAATAATTTACCTATATATATTACACTTTCTAAGATGTGGTGTTGTTGTATCTCCTGAACACCCCTTATTTGCTTTGTTAGTATCTTAATTAATATCATATAGGTAACTAACATGAGGTAGGTATTACTGTAATGTAAAAACAAGATATTTTTTAAGAATAAAAATAATTTTATTTCACAAATTAAACATTTTAGTAGTTTTAAAATAATTTAAGTTCATTAATAACTTGATTGACGAGCGGACAAGATTTATCATACTTATTTACAATATTATAAAACAATTTTTGAATAAATAGCCAGACATTAATAGATTCAATGGGATATTCAATATTGAATACATGAAAAATCTTAAAACAAATGTCTAGTGCTTTAATAGGCGAAAAAACTTTGTATTTTATGCCATCGAAAAAAACCAATATTTCAAGTGGTTCACTAACGGTTCCTACAATTATAATACATGGTTGTATAGTATCGCCAACATTATATTTTCGTTTTATCATTTCTTCAACCTCTACTGCTGTTGGTGCTATCATCATGAAACTGTTCTGTGAATCTTGGATAGAAAATTTAACTATGTTTTTCTTCCCTTGACTGTTGGTGAATGACCTTTTACTTGTTGGTAATAAAATTGCATGAAGGAGATACAGAATTATACAACTTTTAGAACCTGAAAAATAGAAAATTTATGAAAATGAATTCTATGAATAAAAACAATATATATTAGTTTAATAAAATATTGGTCAATAATGATAGAACAATGGATCATGATCTGAACTTACTTTCAGTTATTTGACTGTTTTCAACCATATAATTGTACAATTTCTTATTAGCAGGATCTTTTAGCCTTTCATTAATAACTTGAATTAGTTTTAGTTTAGTGTCATCAAACTCTTTTAATATATTTAATGCTTCCTTGTGAAGACACTGAAAATCAATGTCAACCTGTAAAAGTAAGACATATTATGCTCATATTAATTCTAACTTATAATAGCTTGTTAGGATGACTAAAATATTATAGGGATTCAAATTTTAAAATAAAATTAGAAAAAGATACATTTTATTATAAAAATTATTATAGGTATTAAAAACTTAAAAACAGAATCAGTTAGGGTCAACTAGGGTAAAAGTAAATATGTTAAGTACAATCTTAAGTTGTTGATAAAAACACATTCTGGTTAAAATAATACATTGTACATTTATTATTATTTCATAATTGTTGTCAGAATAATATTTTATTTTATGTTATGTACATCGATATTGTTTATCAAAACATATCTTCAATTATTTTGTTTCTCGTTTTGAAGAGTGTATGGCAGATATTAGATGACATCTTCAAAAATGAAAGTATATTCAAAGTTATTAATTTATAATATTTTTTAATAGATTCTGAATAGATTTAGCATGTTTTGAGTACAATATATGGGTCAGTTTTGCTCCAAGTAATTGTTATAGTTGTTAATAAAATAAGGTAGGTAGGTACCTATTTCAATTGTATAAAGTAACCATTACTAAGTTGTAAGACCAATGGGTGAGTATTAGTTTCACCTGAGGCATATTAACAAAAAATGGAATTTTGTCTTGTAGCTAGGTCTAGAATAGACATCTGTGTGACAAGAACAAAGTTAAACTTCTAGTAGGTAGGCGAATATGTGAAAAGTAGTTAATTAATTAATTACACACTTTAAAGATTCCACACCTGGTGATGATTGGTATTATAATTTTATGAAGAGGCATCAATCTACTTCATTGAAACAGCGAGAAGAGTAGCAGAAAATTAGGAAAGGTTAGGTTAGGTATTAATTAGTGGTATATTTTTATCAATAGGTAATATGGTTCATAGGTACCTTATTAACATAGATAATAAAGATGTGGATAGGACATAATGGTACTCGAGAGTTCTTCGAGGGGAAAAATTGAGGCCAAATTAAAGTATACCTATATCAAGTATCGACTATCAATCACGGCTATAGATAAAGGAGCCTCAATTGCCTTCCCCTTCGGGAACACGGCCTCATCAAATATGTTTAACATAGGTGTGGCCTATCCATGTCTTTATTATATATTTATATAATATGCTTATTAAACAAATAACTTAATACAGTGACAATTTATTATTGGATGGGGTAACAACACAGAGCTACATTTATGCAATAAGCATTCAAAACAAATTAAGCCTTAAATATTTTTAGAAATCATATCACTAAAAATAATTTATAAATTAGGTTTATGAATTATAAAAACTCACAAGTTTATATCCAAGTGGCTTCTTGTAGTGAGGCCATGTTTTATGTAAATCAGTAGCTGACATTTTTAGAGATTTTAGCTTATACACAGCAGTTTTTTTCCAAATTAATTCTATGTCAGGCCATGATAACTCTTCGTGGTTCAACTGACTTATATAACTTTCGGCATTTTCTTCAACTACTGTTATTTTAAAAAATAAACAAAAGGTAATTTAATTAACAACTTACAAACATATATTTCAATATTAGTTCATAGTATTCATCACCTAAATCATCATTGAATGCTGCAGATATCCGGGTTAGACAATTTTTCTCAAGTCTACATTTTTTTGATGGGCCCTGAGAAACTAGTCCATGGTTTTTCAAACTTCTAATTTTATTGAAAAATTTTGCGTACAGTTTCCCTTTGGGCGCTTTATTGTCTGTATCTCTTACAAAATATGTTTCCTAAAACAAAAATGTAGGTTGAATATTTTTTTTAGCAATTTTTTTAGTTTCTTACCTTCAATTCCGTTGTAAAAGTTTCAACAATTGTCTTAGCTATAGTATCTGCCAGACCAACAGACATAGAGATAGATTGTTCAATGAGACTTGATATTATTAAGTCAATCATTAAACTGCGACATGACTCATTTAAGCTCTTATTTGACTTGTAATAGTTCATTATCATTATACCATGAGAACTATTCTTAAGGACATCATGTAAAGAAAATTGTGGAGACATATGAGAAATCGATTGTACTGGTACCGGTGCGTTGGAAAATGATAAAGTAGATACAGTTGATGGATTCATTACATCGTCAGAGATTGATGGATTCATTACATCGTCAGAGACCTCCTCTGGTTTGTTTTGCAATTTCTTGATATGTTTCTTAAATTTAATTTTCACTCCCATTGGATACTTTGATAAAAGCTGTTCAACTTTGCTAGGACTTATGGATTGTAACGCCTCAATATCAATACAATCAGCTAAAGCAAAAATATGGTTGTATAAATAAATTAATAATAGTAAATATTTATAAATAATAATATAATTTACTGTGTACAATATTAAAATAAAAATTCTGAACCAGAATATTATAAAAATTCAAACTGTATTCATGTTTCAGCCTATAGAACATTATCGGGTAATATAAAATATTAAAAACATAATTAATATAAAAATTGAACATAAATATCATAAAATATAAAGAACAATAGGCAAGTAATATATTTATTATTTACCATTTAAATTGTTATAACTTATAATGCCCTGGCTTTAGTGAATTTTTATTTTTATAATTTATAGACAGTAATTAATATTATTAATTATACAAGTGTTAAACAATACTTTCATTTTAAATATTTATAGCTATGAAAATTAATTGAAAATTAAATTTATAATACTAACCTAAACAAGTTTCGTACAGAAATTCCATGTTCCAACCTAACAACATCTCTTTCAAACAATTTTGATCCTCAAAACTTAAATGATAAGGCATAGGTGACATATTATCATGACTTGACGGTGGTAGTTGAGAAAAGTTATTCATTATATTTGGACACTCAACTGAATTTTCATCATTAGAAATTGAAGAGCAGGAGGGTAGATGAAGATCAGTATAAATTCTTTCATCCTCTGCAAGATGTTCACTTAATAGACTTAGGTAATCTTCTTTTTGGTGTTGCATTTTACTTGATACATATAATACATTTATAAATACAAAATATAATTACCTACACACAAATATAATATACATATTACATAAATTAAATAATTTAATTTTAAAACCTGAAAGATATAAAATATGTTAAATACAACACATATTAGTACCTACACTTTAAATCTAAATATACTAATACTAAAATGAGATAAATAAAAACAAAATTAAGATATTAAATGTTTTCCATTTCTAGAAATATTCTTTCAATCTAATCATAAGATTACCACCATTAACTTTATTGATATTTAAAGGGGGAGAATTAAACTGATCAACATTCATAACGCTTTTGGAAACAACACTCTTGTTTATATCAACTTTGTATGCTCTAAAATGAGTGTCAAATAATTCTAATAGAATTTGCTGAACAACAAAATATACTGTATTATTTTTTAATAAAATTATCTCAAGTATTTCATACAAACAAATTTCACTATTAAAACAAGTGACATAATTGCCAATTTTGTAGATTGTACCTCGAAATTCAATCTTGGAATAACTGATATAGTTATTAGTTGATACTTTTATAAAGTCAAAAATAATTGCCACATGCTTTGAATCAATTTTATGTTTTTCCAAGGCTTCTACTAGCAAACTATTTTTTTTTTGGTTTAATATGAAATATGCAAATTTAAATTGATGTTTATTTGCCAATGTTAAACAAATATTTCTTCGAGATGTTATTGCCCTAGCATACATTTTCAACTCCTTATGTTTCGCTTCATAACGAAAGCACCAAAAGTGTCTTGGAGGGCCAGATTTAAGAATAATTGTAGGATAATGTATCAATAAATGATGCTTAGGTTTTAAGTTATCTTGAAAATATTTAACATAATCTGAATTATGTTTTTCAATAAGAATTTTTAAATGCTTTACCATATCTCGTGTAAACGTATAGCTTAATAAACTATCTATAATTTCAATAAAAATTAAAAAAAATTGCCAAATCTCATCATCCACTGGAATTAAATCACCAATGATCAAAGAAAAAAAATGAACAAAGCACATCATTTGTCTTGCTGACATTTTTAAATGAAATTTGTGAAGATGATGTCTTTCAATAGGTGGTGATACATTTTTTTGCTCAAGTTCACCATAGTCAAAATTTTGTTTTCTTAAATTAAGGGTTTCTAAAGAAAAAATTTGTATTTTTTCTGTGTAATAAATTATTAAATGACACATATTGTAATGGCAAATACCTTCATAAATGTCATGCATAATGTCTACGCTAAAGTTATCCGTGACATGAAATGTAGTGATTTGGTTTAAAATGCTATCTTTATAAATACCAGTTTGTGTAAAATCATTTTTTTTCTAGATCTTCTGTATAATTTATAACATTACGGAGTAAAGAACCATTTTCTTTTGATAAATTATGCATTATAGATTTTGGAGCTTTGCAAAATCGACAATAGAAATTAGCAGAAAATGATTTTGAAAATTCACATAAACAGTTAATTCCTAGGTTATCCCCTAATAATAAACCTAGAATAAAATATACATGTTTTGGACCGGTAGGAGTATTTATGGTTATACCATCATTACCCAAGCTGTTTATTTCATAAACTATCTGTTTGAAACATAAGTCATTCCCAAAGGTTTTTACATCTCTAGATTTTATAAGGGCTGTTAAGAAAATGTTATTTAGCTTTGAACTATGCTCACTGAGAGGAAAACTATAATACACCGCTGATAATGAATGACACATAGATTTGGAGCCTAATGGATTGTTAAGTTCTACATCATCAATGTACATAAAAAAAGGCATAACAATTTTATTTTTATATGGAATTATTTTTTCTTTCCATAACGAACCTTGAATAAAGTTAGTTATGGAGCAGGTGTTTGATTCAGGACAACTTATAAGTTTGTTGTATTTATTAATTGCAGTATTTAAGTTATTATTTTGCTCAAAATATGTTTTTATTTGAAACTTAAAAGGCATTATAATTCCCTTAGTAAGTATTTCATCATATACAGTTTGGCCATTATTAGAAATTAAGTTTACTTCATTATTAATAGTGAACTGCTTATATTCGTTACTTATGAGTTCATTGTTTTTAAGCCAGTTATTTAACAAATATTCAGTTTTACAAAACTTAAAAAGATCTGATATACCTAATATAACTTTAGTAAATTTAGATAGAAGTAATGGATCTTGTATTTCCTCTTGAATAACACCCTTTAATAAATTTGTAATAGGATTTAGAATGTTATTTTCAATATCGCTTTGAATGTTTTGAACATCACTTTTACAAAAGTTATTATTGTTATGTAACATCAAACAAAATTTTACTGCCCCCAAATGTAGTTCTTCAATACAATTGTTTGTGTAAAATATATCCTCGTTCGGTTTGGATCGTTTAGGTTTATCAAATAAAATATTACTAGCATCATTACTAATAGAATCATTACTGTCGTAACTATTAGTATCTGTTAAAATACCACTATGCGAATGTGCAGTTTCAGGTAAGTTATCTTCCACAGTGTTCACGTGTTTGTTAAGGATGTGTTTTTTTAAACTACTAAGACTTTGAAAAGATTTTGAACAATTATCCTCTATGCAAGTATATGAATTAAATGGCCCTAACACATGTATAATCTTATAATGGTAAACGAGCGATGGCAATGATGGTACATTTAAATGACAAATGAAGCATTTCATTTTGTTAATATAATATTATGTAATAGGTACAATAAAATACTTACCGTTGGATTTGTCCACGATTTGAAGTGTTTATTAGAAAAAACAACGCACTATTCACACACGATATAAGTTCACAGTAAATGCGAAAAAACTATATTGCAAACAATGAATACCTAGGACAAGTAGTAACATCGGCAACTGTCCATCAACGTGTTAAACAAGGTACAATCGTATCGTGGTCAGCAATGTTACTTTGTCCGCATGCGCTCGGAAACTTATATTGTTAATTTGATAAAGTTATTGTTGAATTGATAAATCGATTGTTCATATTTGAAAAAATGGGATTTCCAGTAATTTATATCTATTTTTAAATTGGTACAAATCCAGATATAGATGATAATGCAGTTACCTTATATTAACAATATAATTTGTTGATTTAATAAATAAACTTTTTTAGTTTAACAAAACTAAGTATTAAATCTAAAATACTATTGTTAAAATAATAATTTTTATTTTATTATATGCTCAGTATAATAACAAAAAGTTTTTTGTTAATTCGACAATGCGTGATCAATTTGATAAAAGCTTAGTTGTTAATCTGATAAAAATATAAATAATCCAAAAAAAATGTTGTTATTACTACAAATATATAATTGACTTAACAAATTTATGTTGGTTAAAACTTAACAAAAGTATTTTGTTAGTTTCACCTTAGTTTTTTCTTTCTGTGTAAAATAACGGTTTATCCAAAAATGATTTTAGATACCTATTTGTTATTATTCAAAAAGTAGAAGTCGTAGAAACTTGAAACTTTTATCAGTTGTTTAGATTGGTATTATCTTTAAATAATTTTATTTTCAAAATATTTCACTAATTATTAATCTATTATAGGCATTTTAAATATTTGATTTTTTAAAATTTTTTTTTTTTTAAATGTGATAAAAAAATTATTATGGACCCAATACTTGAAAATCTAATAGAAGACTCCACATGAGTTGTTTTACTTTCATTTAAAAATTATTATAAAACTAGGCACATTTTTTTTTTATAAACGTTCAAGCGCAAGTATTGACAAAATTCGTCAAAATCATGAATATTTTAAATTAAAAAATTACCTAACCATGCCGTATGTAACCGCCAACCCGACCTAATTAAAAAAAAAAACACTTTTTATAAAATAAAATATATAAACATATTTAAATATAATATATCTTAGACTGACAAATCATCTCCGTTCAGAATCGTTTTTCGTATACAATGATACCTATCATTGCATTATTTAACGCATACATTAAAATTACCTAATCTAGACTGAGGTCCCTAATGTAGGTACCTACAGCAGAGAGAGTTTCCGGTTTTTAAATTTTATAATAGGTCAATTCACTGTAATACTAAATATGACAGAGTTAAATAGATTATTCACAACGAACAATTTGCTATGCTACGGGTTTGCACATGTGCCGATCTCTTAAGCTATGGACATTTATTTTTTTTACATTGTATATTAATTATATAGGTACTTAGTTTTATCCAGTGGCATGTATAGAAATAATTTGCGGGGTGGGCTACAATAGATGGGAACTAGTAAGTGGTCTAACACTTAATACCTATACTAGGTACTATAATACAGAAGTGACTGTAATAATGTGAGGGGGTGGTCGGGCTGTGCCCCCCCCTTTACATACTCCATTCGTTATAACATATATTTTGAAGATAAAACTGAATAAAATAAAAATTATACTTAAACATAAAAAAATAAATATGTATTTGTATTTTGTATGTAATAATTTAGATACTCACGACAAGCAATGAGTGGTTTGTGGACGGAACTTTTAAAATTGCACCAAGCCTATTTGCACAGGTATTTGTAATTTTGGCCAGTCGTAATGGAGGTGTTCATACATGCATATATGCATTATTGCCAAATAAAAATCAGACGACGTACAACAGACTATTGGTTGAAATTAAAAATCTAGCTCCAGGAATATTAGCTGGGAGTATTTCTGTAGATTTTGAAATAGCTGTTCATAATTCTTTTAGAACTAAATTTCCTAATATTGAAATACGTGGATGTTTTTTTCATTTATTACAAAACCTGAAAAAACAAGTGGCAGCTGTAGGATTGATGGCGTAAGTTAAATGTTTTATATTATTTTTTAAATGAAGTATAATATAATAATATATAATAACATATTATGATAAATCAATGTTAGGGCTTAAATTTTTGGAAAATATATGTGAGAATAATATTACTAAATCCTATAATTTGAAAATTAAATTTGAAAAGTTTTAAATTTTAATATATTTTTAAACATTTTATTTATTTAAAAATATATGAAAATTTAGTTTTTGTTTTTATTCCGACTAAATAATTAATACATTAATGACTTGAGTTATTGAATATACAAATAAAGTATGTTTAATAGTTATTAGTTTAATATAGGTACAATAAGTTGATACATTATAACATTACTCCATTTAGAGACTACAGAAATGATGCAGACTTAAACCTACATGCACGCATGATAACAGCGTTGGCATTTGTCAGGCATTTGAGGACGTACCTGCTTATTTTGAAAATCTCAGCATGGCAATTGAAATTATATTTCCATCGTTACAGCCAATCCTTGATTGGCTGGAAACGTACTATGTAGGAATGCTGAGAAGGGAAGGAGTTAGAAGAACACCAGCTTTTCCTATTCCAACCTGGAATTTATATAACAGAGTGTTAGCAGGACAAATGGTATGTAACATAGTAGAATCCTTTCTTTTTTCCCTCATTTTTTGTTATATGCAATTGGAACTAATTAGATTTGAAGATGGGAACCCATATTGTTTATAGTATTAAGTACTTACCTACATAACATTTCATTAATAAAAAGGTGCAGATTATCTGTGGGGAGGGGTGGTAAGTACTAAGTTGATGACACCTTTGTATATTAATAATAATTACCTACAGATTTATCATATTTTATCCATCATTCATTACCTAATTGTTTTTTTTTTTCATAATATAATAATTATTCTGGTATGCCACCCATTCTTTAAAAATATTGTGAACTAGGTGACAATTTATTTTTACTGTGTAGGCAGTAAAATTGTTCAAATATAAATGTTTTCTAATTCTAGCCTTTGTCTACATTACTACGATATTATTTTATATTTTTAAGTCACTTTTACAATGTTTTTAAATAATTTTTGAAAGTATCTTAGGACCTAGTTATTATATTTGTACTTGAAAATTTAGGTTACACTTTTCCAATTTTAGAAACTTATATAATATTAAATATTGGTAACTATACATGACCATTTAAAATTATTGTGCCGGGTGCCAAAACTTGAACCAAACCGACACTGGTATTCACATATATTTTTGTAGGGGTATACAGTCCAATCTCAATAAATTCGTCCAAAATCCCAAACAAATTTGAAATAAAAAACATACAAACAAGCTTTACAAATATATGTTTAATTTTTTATCATTTTCATAAATATTATAAGTTAATATTAAATAAATTACTATTAGTTTATTTAAAACAAAATTAAAGTTTTTCTAATTCCTGAATATCATTATTAAATTGTATGTATACAAATCATGTGTACCAAGTTATTTTTATTTCATCTAATTCTTAGTTTTGTTTTTATGTTTAATTTCAAGTAAAACCTTGAAGGTTGCCGCATAATCCCAAAACCATTCATAACACAGTTTTTTCTTAAATTAATTAACTACCTATAATTCAATTTTATAATGATAATATATAGTTATAAAAGTTATAATAATTATTTAATTGTTTTTTTTTAATTGACTATAAAATATAATAAATGTATTACTGGTTTGGATTTTTAAATTATTATGTATTTTAAAATTTAATTGAACCTATAATATTGTTGATACCAACTTACAAATAATTGTTTTTATTTTTATGATTTGCTTATGTGTTTTAACAGAAAACAAATAATATTGCTGAAGCAGCTCATAGGAGACTCCAGGCCCAGCTGAGCATGTCCAACCCAACGATTTGGAAATTCATAATAGAGCTCAGAAAAGTGCAGTCAGAGAGAGACATCTATTATGAATTTCTCGTTGCGGGGAATCAACCACCACCTTCAAAAAGAAAATTTGTTGACGCTGGAAACCGAATTCTGCACTTAGTACAAAATTATCGACACCGCCAACCCATTGAGTACTTACGAGGACTAGCTCATAATTTTATTATGGACCAGTAAAAAAAATTACTACCTAGTTATAAACCTAATAATATATCTAACTGCGTTGAATACTTTTTTACATTTTTCCTTGTAGGTACCTATATATTGAATATAAATACCCAAACAAATCCATTCCTAATACCTCTTAAGTCCTAATTCTTTCAACCAAATTGTTAACTTTAATTACCTACAATAAATATTAATATTGAGTTAAGTGAACAAGATGAACATTAAAAACAATTATTAAATATAGGTATTTTACTCACCCCAATGAGATGGGCACAGAACAAGATGGATAAGTGGTTTGCACTTTGGTCTATATACCTAGGTACCTAATATTGACTTATATGTAATATGAATAACAATAATATCACAGAACTATGATACACATTAATCTTTTTACATTATTATTGAAAAAACAATTATTTTCAGTACCTATAAGGATACAACAGTGTATAAGGGCATAAGGCATAAGCGCCTTTAAACTAACTTAATATGCAAATAGCATTTACTTTAAAGTTTTAATATTAATAACAACTGGTGTTATATCTAAGTAAAAATTAGTCTATGTCTATTATCTATAAACAGTTATTTTGAGTTTGTTTACTAATAGTAAAAATGACACTCAACCTTTTATATTATAAGAATCAAAACAATAAAGGTTAACATGAAATTACTGTACACTAATTTAACTAAAATGCATGAATATGTTACAATTGATGTATAATCTCACAATAACACTAATTTAGTCCATAGTAAGAATCTACACCCCATATTGGTTGTTTTGAAACAAACTAGAAGGTATTAACAGTATTTCATTAAGACATTTTTTGAATGTAGGTATGTACTAGCTACCTATATAATGTACTTTTACATAAAAGTATAATTATATAAAATATTCTTTTAAACAATATAAGCTGTTGGATGACAAATAGGCACTATTTCTGTTCCAGTAGTGTCATCTCCAAAAATACAACAGGTGATCACTTAAAAATTATTACCACCTATCACTATTTTGATTAACCACAAAAAAACTCATACAGTTTAATATATAGGTAGGTAGGTAGCTATTCCTAATCAACATGTCGCCAACATCGACCTGTGTAGTGCGTATTTACTATTATACACCTACTAATACTATAATGTATCTGATAGGTAATATATAACACAATAAATTGCATTTATACACATGCCATATAGTGATTTTTGAGCACAGAGAACTGAGCTTTAAATCCCAATTTGTTAAAAAAAAAATATCAATGGTGAGTTTATACTGGATATCGAGATACAACAGCTACAACCTACTCAATTAAGAAAGGGGTACTGAGCACCTTTTTAGATATGTGAATATGTGATAGCGGCCATTGCTATGCCCTCTGATGAGAATCTTTTTTTTTTCAAGAGGATGATTGTTATTGAATTCAAATTTAACACATCTATATTCAAATCCTTATTGGTAACCTATACCTACTATATGACTGAGGTCTGGAAACCAAAACAGTATATTGTCATTCCCAGAAAATGAATCTCCTATGTAAAAAAACACTGATTTTCAGTAGCAATTAGCAAACATACACTATTTAAAATTAACTATTATTAGGTACCTACATTAATTTAATAAATAGTATCCAAGAAATTAAAACCATTTTTATTTTATATTCCATCATAGTATAATACATTATATTTATAAAGATATTTCAAATCTCAATTAAAAAAATTTGTCGCAGGAAATGTTTTCATCTTCAAGGTTTTATAGGAGATTTTAGGTTTTAAAAATACAGCATATTATTTATATTTTATAATACTTATAGTATATTAGTATGTTACATTAACTGTAACTAATTTAAAAGTATATTAACAGTTAATTAAATAAAATAAATGTATACCTACTATTACTTCAGTCTTTTTAAATGAATAACAAATGTATTTAAAATATTTTTAATACATGAACTAAAAAGTACATTATTATATTATTATAATTTTAATGATAATATTATAAAAATGTCGGGGGGGGGGGGGTTGAACCCTTGACACCCCCCACACATGTATACTGGCCCAAACCCCTGAAAAAATGATTGCGAAAAGACCACGGTGAATAAACCGCGGCGAATAGACCGCGGCGAAAAGAACGCGGCGAATAAACCGGCGGTGAAACAATCTTCGGCGAAACGATTGGTGGAGAATAGTAAGGCGGCGAAATGAACGATGGCGAAATGACCAGCGGCGAAATGAGGGCGGCGAATAAGCCGGCGTCGAAACGATCGCGGCGAAATGACCGAGTCCGCCAATATCCACCCAATTATTTGGGACTCAGTTTACCACTCCCGGTTAGCGTCCACGGGCCACTTACTGGTATTAATCGCTCTAATTACGCGTGATAAGGTATTGTCCACGCGCGACTGTTTTTTTATTTTCGCCCAATTAATGATGAATGGGCAATCGTCATAGATTAAGTTTAAACAATTCAGGTCGGACGATGTGTCTACCGCTTTACCTATTCTTATTCGCGATAAAAAATCAGCAGCATTTTCTCCGGACATATACATGTGCCCACCTTTGAAGTCGGTTAGCTGCGTATATCAGTATACCCTTTTTTTTTTCCTAATATGTGATATAGCGGTTTGTGGTCTGTTACCAACGTGATTTTACGTGCGTATAAATAGTCGTAAAATTTTTGTATGCCGAAAATTATGGCTAAACCTTCTCTCTCGATTTGCGGGTATTGACACTCCGTCTTCGATAACACCCGTGACGCATAAGCTATTGATTTCTCGACCTTATCTGAGTAAACGTGTGTTAACACCGCCCCGATGGCAAACGCAGACGCATCCACACTTAACTTGACTGGCTTCTCTGGATTATAATGGTCTAGTATAGGCGTGGACGACAACATTTTTTTTATATTTTGGAACGCAGTGTTTATCTCTCTTGTCCAAACCCACTGGGCGTTGTCTTTGAGTAGATTGTATAATGGTTTAAGTACTGATGCTGCATTTTTAATGAATTTAGCATAATAAGTTACTAAACCAAGAAAACTTTTTAATTCTGACTTATTTTGGGGAGACGGGGCTGCTTTTATCACTTTTATATGTTTATCTAATGTGTGTAATCCCTTTCCGTCAATTTTATGACCCAGATATTCTACCGATGATTGTGGAAAACAACAGTTTTCTTTTTTTACTTTTAAACCTGCTACGTTTAACGCCCCTAAAAGTTTGTCTAGTCGCGAGTTGTGTTCGCGTACTGTTTTGCCCGGAACAATGATGTCGTCATACTCGGTGCCTACTAAAACCGGGTTTACTGTAGTTTTGAAATCCCCACACAGCCTTACCGATCCATCGTTTTTTAAAATTGGTACCACCGGTGTTGCCCATTCGCTATGGTCTACGGGGACTAACGTCCGGTTCTGCACTAATCGCTCGATTTCCTCTTCCACTTTTTTCCTAAGCGCTATAGGGACTAGGCGGTGTTTGCAAAACTTCGGGATCGTGTCTGGCTTCACTCTCAACGATACCGTATACGATTTAAAAGTACCTAGACCCTCTTTAAATATGTCTTTATACCTGTTAAGCATTGAATCGATAAGGTCACTCTCGGCCCTAAAATTCTATAAAGATAAACTATTTATACCTAACAAAGCCAAGTCGTTCCTACCGAGCAGAGGGGGACCGCCGCTCGGTACTATATACACCCATATCTGTGCGACCTCATTATCATGAGTAACTGATAGCTTGGTCTTACCCACCGGTGTAATCTTGTTACCCACGTAGTTCGATAACGCAATATCATTCTTTTCTATAACATTTGTTCGAAAATAGGAATTATACGTCTTCTCCGATATAATGCTATATAATGAACCCGTGTCTATCTCAAAGGTAATCGGAATACCTTCAATGTCCAACGTTATTTTAAACGGTTCTACTTTTAATTTATGATTGGAAATTACGCTTATAGAAAAAAAACAATCGGCTAAATTTACGCAAGAAGAGTCGTCTCCTTCCTCTTCCGATAGAAATTTATTTTAAGTCTTACTTTGATACCCTGACTTGGATTTGTTAGGTATAGAACAACACATTGGAGCTAAGTGCCCCTTTACCTCGCACGCATTACATGTGTAATTTTTAAACTTACAAGTGTTTGTAGAGTGGTTAGCGCGCCCGCAGACACCGCATTTGACCTTGCCGTTGACGTGGCTGTCGTCCCCTCCCCTTGTCTGCTTTGTGATGGTTTTCCCCTTCTTTTGGTCTAGTGAAGTTGATTGACGCATCTCCTGCTGTCCACTGCTTGCTTGCGTTGATTGTTGCTTCCTTGTTGGTTGCAATTTCCACCAATTTAACCAGCGTGACTGTTTGACTTGACGTATCCTCTTCCAACAGACGGTCTTGAACCCGTCCTGATCCCATTCCGACTACGAACACGTCACGCATCACGACTTCTAATTCTGTTCCGAAACCGCATTTTGATGCGAAGTCTCTTAAACGAGCACTCCATTGTGCCACGCTTTCATCATCTGTTTTTTTGGCTATGTAAAACATGTGCCTAGCAGTGAAGTATGATTTTTTTGGTTCGAAATGGTCCGTAAGTAACGTCGACCACGTTTTGAATGAACGATTGTTCGGGTCACTTGGGACACACAAACTATATAGAAGCTTGTACACCTCTTCCGAAATAGACGATAGCAGTATAGCTTTTTTTTTTACTTCATCTGTTAGCAAACGTTTGCATCAAAAAAGTTTTTTAGCAGAGACAGATACATTTTTATATCTTTATCCGGTTCAAATGTGCCTGCAGAGCCTATAACTTGTGAATACATAATTCTAGTATGTACTTGAGCTAGTGCTGGACATTGGCTTGCCTAATCCGGATCACGGATTGAAATACAGAATCCGGATTGGCGGATTCAATCCGTTTTAACCGGATTCGCGGATTCAATCCGTTTTAACGGATTCGCGAATTCAATCCGTTTTTCGGATTAACGAATTCAATCCGTTCTCCGGTATTACGGATTGAATCGGTAAATCCGAGTAACTAGTTTAATTTATAAAGCTGAATTAATAATTTAAAAATAATGTTTATGAACAATCAACAAAGTACAGACATCATGATATGTATGATAATATAATAATATAGTACCTACTACCAGTACTACCTATCTACTATCTACTTTAGCCACCCGGATAATAAACATATAATATATTTGTTTGTTATATTAATTATTAATTAAGTTAATTACTAATTTAATAATAATTATTGTATCAACTATCAATCTATATTCTTTTTTTTTATTTCTATGTAAATTTAGTATTTATCACGTGCATATTATTCATATTAGTTCATTATATTTTCCAAAAAGGTGTTTTATACTTTAATGTTGATTTATAATAAAATAAATCAATTACTACCCCATACAATGATGAAAATATAACTAGTAACTAGTAAGTACTAAGTAGTAACTAAATAAAAATCACATGGTTAATTTGAAAAACTATTTTTTATTTAATTTTTGTACATAGAAAATGTTACATTATAAAAAAAAAACAAATATTATTTTAATTGTGCTGCTTTGTGTTATGAGAAAAGAAGATTAACCATTTGGCCGTTTCACCTGATAAACAATTTCTTTTTGCTGTTATAATATTTCCTGCGTTAGAGAACGCTCTTTCTGAAGGTGTTGAGGTGGACGGAACGCACAAATATTTTTTTGCAAGTTTTGAAATGTTTGGATATCTTGAACTATTTTCTTTCCACCAAGCTAATGGACAAGCATTTTTATTTATTGTATTCTCTTTTACATATTTATCAAGTTCATTTTGTTCACTGCATCTTTCATTGTCTGGGAATAATATATCAAGAGCAGTCATTTCTAAATGATGGGCAGTGTCTCTGTCGGTTTGATTAATTCCAGCACCATCATCAAAATTTAGTTGTGTCTGTATGAAATTTCTTATTAAATCCATCATTCCATCATTGTTATTATCAGTGAAATGATTTTTGTAACGTGGATCTAAAAAAGATGCAATATTTAAAATAAAAATGTCCTCTTCATGAGCAGCATCGAAAAATCTTGTTTGAAACTCTCGGGTTAATATTCTTTTAAATGTTTGAATTTGTTGAAGATCTGTATTGTTATGTTTTAAAAAATTATCCACAATACTTTTTAAAATTGGCTGCACAGTAGAAATTGTGGGAGTTTTTGCTGATGATAATATGTTTGTAACGAGATTAAAAGGTTCAAGAACTTTGATCCAGTATTCTAACAACTCCCATTTACTTTCACTCAATTCCAATGTCAATGCAGTTGTTCTTGTAGTAACTGTACGGTCATTTAATACTGAACAAATAGCTTGTCTGGAATCGTTAAGCCTGACTAGCATAGCATAAACAGAGTTCCACCTGGTTTTTACCGATTGTACTAATTTGTTTGTCGACATTTTCAAATTTTTTTGAGCTGCTAAAAGAGCTTTTGAAGCTACAGTAGAGTGTTTAAAATGTGATACAATTGATGAAGCTGTACTCAGTAAATCTTTGATTGATTTATCTTCTAAGCCTTTATTAACACAAAGTTGCAGCGAATGAGCGAAGCAAGTTCTACTTTTTATATCAGGAGCCATAGAACAAACTGCATTTTTTATATTAATTGCATTGTCATGAACAATACAAACTACTTTATTGTAAATATCCCAGACACGTATAATATCCAACAGTTTTTCTTTTAAATTGATTCTTGTATGACGTTCATCCATCAACTCGGTTGTTAAAATGTAGTTCACTATTTTCCATTCATTAGTGATTCCATGAGCCGTGATTGAGATGTATGATTCAGTAGATCTACTAGTCCAACAATCTGTTGTTAAGGCAATGAAATCTATACCATTCAAATCACTAGCAACTCGGTTTTTTTCGGTCAAGTAAAGTCCAAGCATTCTTCTTTTAATAGTATTTCGGCATGGTACTTCATAGTTTGGTGATACTGTTCTCATGAATTCTAGAAATCCAATACCATCTACCGAAGAAAGTGGAAGCATGTCTTTTGCAATATATCTTACTAGACTTTCAGTTATCATTTCTTGCTTCTTGACGTGACGGTCAGAAGAAGGAGAAAATAATAAATCTGATATTTTTTGTTGTTTTATTTAATTTGGAGAATCTGAACATGAAACTGCAATGGATGTAGATACTCCTGGTTGAGATACAGTTTGAGAGTTTTCAGAATGAGATTCTTCACCGTTCAGTATAATATCTTCAGCATCATCATCATCATCTCCTTCAAATGATCTAAATGAAAGTATACAAATTCCAAATTAGCTATTAAGATTTAAGATATAATTAATAATGTAATGTCTGAATTTCCAAGGTATTAGTATTGAAATAAATATATTTATTCAATCATAATAATTGACAGTTGCAGCTAGCTTCAGATAAATATGTGTTTTTGAGGAGGATTCTGATGACCCACTCTCTCACAAACATTTATTAGAAAATACATACAACCTAATAATTTTAAAGTTGTAAATACCATCATTGTAAGTAGTTAAATATTTTACAGTACAGCAAAATAAAATTATTAAGAATAAAATATGGAGATTTCAATAAATATATGATCAAAAAATTATTTATAAGTATTTAATATTAAAATTATTATATATTTATATCATATCTTACAATAATATTATTATATTATGATATAATTATTAATAATGCAATGTCTGGATTTCCAAAGTATTAGTATTGAAATAAATATATTTATTCAATCATATTAATTGACAATTGCAACTAGCTTCAGATAAATATGTGTTTTTGAGGAGGATTCTGATGACCCACTGAACCGGAGAGCGGACTTCGTTGTTTGGGGTCTTCTTATACTTACATTGGTTAGGAGAAGTGCAGTGAAGATTTTTAGAACTTTATCTTTAATAGTAAATTCACCACAGAACAAATACTTTTTCTCAATTACTTTTTTTACAATTATAAAGTAATGGTATTATGGTAACAAACACTTAAAACAAATTTTATTGAGTGTTTTTGATATTTTTCAGCTTTACAGCTTTGTAGTGAATTAACGATTGGAGATAAAGTTCTGAAAATTTTCACTGCACTTATCCTAGCCAATGTAAATTTAACAAGACCCCAAACAACAAAATCCGTTTTCCAGTTTTACCGCTTGGGTGTAAAATCAAATCTCTCTCATCGATATTTTATATTAAAGCTAGCTAAATTACCCACCTAGGCATCGTTGCTGAGTTACATTTTTATTATTTTCCTATTTAACACAATTTTTTGAAGTTTTCAAAATGTAAACTTTTTCATTTCAATTACCATACTTATTACTTGATTAAAAATCAAGAAAGGAAAAATTATTTAGAAGTATTTAATATTAAAATTATTATATCATATCTTACAATAATATTATTATATTATGATATATAAATATTGTTAAAATTATATTATTATATTACCTTTTCTTTATAACAGCATGCTCACCACCCAGAGTTTTGTTTAAATTGTGCTTTATCCGTAAGTGACTCCATAATGTTCCTTAGGTAGGTATATAAAAAAAACATAATATTAATATTATTTAAGAAAAATAGGCATTAGCTAGTATTATAAATTATTTAAGTAAATTAATTTAAATACTTTAATAGTATAGTATCTACAAATCTAAATGAACTTGTATAATAAATTTGTAAATCTAAATTTAGTACCCACCTAGTACTTACTATCAATTGCATTTAGTAGATACCTAGTATTACCTAATACCTATTACCTACTACCTACTGTTTTTTTATAACTTCAAATTATTTTGATTTTTTTAATTTTGAATAGTAACAACTAACAATAGGTACACAATACAAATGTTTAATTACCTGTGCTGCCAGCTGTGTTAAACGATTTCCCGCAAGCATTGCAAATTGATAGGCTCTTTCCAGTTTCGTCCACAATTTTCTTAAAATTCTGCCAAATTTTCGACATTTTAAAATAATGTTTCACTCGTGCATTCGTAACTTCGTGTAACTGAGTACCGACTGTGTAGGTAAGCTAAATGCGAATAACCAAATACCAATGATAAAACAATGTTGTATTATCAATTATCAACACCCATATCGGAATATCGGAGAGGAACAATGGAACGATGGAATTCCCGTAATCTGGTTATAATAATAGATTTACTCAATAATTATCTTATCTTTTATAAGAAAAACGAATTTTTATTTTTAGACCAGAATCCGGATTGAATTATCTAATTCGGATTCATATCAAAATCCGGATTGGTATCACAATCCGGATTGATAATTTTTAATCCGGATAAACAAATTAATGATCGTTGTTTCAAACCAGATTGATCCGGATTGGTAATCCGGATACGGATTAATCCGGATTTGATGTCCAGCACTAACTTGAGCCCCGCACTCTGTGTCGTCGCAGTTGCTGTCGTCTTGGTCGTGGACGTTGTGTTTAGTTGGTCCGGCATGGTCTCCGATGACCAAATAGTACAAAATAATATGATACGTACCCTTAACCAAACTATGACTGTGAAAGTAGTCTGACCGCGTCAAGTCGAACTTCGAAATTTGTTCTATCCTGCGATTATGCGCAGGGGAAGTGATGGTGGTATTATATAAATAAGAATACACCACGTAATTGCAAGTAAGGTTCGAACACCGAACATAGACTGATTTATTATAATATACAATAATCGTAATAATTACCATAATTGTCGTGAGCCGGTCGGTGGGGACCGGTCTCTTACATGACCAACTTAAAACAAATTAAAACCAGTATATTGTGTATTTTACCAATATACCACAGATATCATTTGTGATTAACTATAACTACCACTTGTGTTTCCCAATTACTTTTTTTTATAAGTGTTCAATATATTGTGTTAGCTGTTTTAGTTAATTTGTATTGTTGTTCTTAATATTATATGTAACTAACTTATTACTTACCTATGTATTGTTTTGTATTTAACCTTTATGTTACTGTCTTATTATTGTATTAATTATTGATTAGCTATGTGTTCTGAGATCTGTTAATTCTACCATGACCTAAGGACTCAATTGTCAACAAAAAAATTGAAAATAGTAAGTAATATTTAATATAAACTTTAAAACATTGTCATATATAACATATAACATATAACTAATAACTATATAATTAGTTTTTGTTTTTTTTATAAAAATAATAATAATTTATGGAAAAAGATTAATATAATAACTAATTAATAACCAAGTAAAAGTATAACTCCTCTATGTAGTATTGAAGTTCTGAATAATTCAATAAATTCAAATTTAGTTTAATTTCTTTTCACAACATTTTTTTTCTATAAAATTGTTCATATTTATAACAGATTCAATTGATGAGAATTTTACCGGACTGAATCCTGATGATCCTAAATGCTCTTTACCTACAAATCGTCTAGAAAAAAGATCGGATTTTGAGAGGTCCTTTTCAGCCTGTGTTGACAATGTACCCAAGGAGCACAATAAAGGTCCCCACACACTGCCGCGGTGGCGGTGGCGGTAAAATTGTACACATATATTTAGTACTATACTCTGTTCAAAATAAGATCGTGACCCGGCGGCCGAGTTGTGCGCATGGGCGTGGCTTTGTTCCGTGGCTGCGCCCTACGCGTCGCTGTAGTGGGGACGGCATCTGGCCATATGTCTGACCGCCGCCTGACGAAAACTGGTCGCCGCCGGGTCACGATCTTATTTTGAACAGAGTATAGGTCCACACACCACCGCGGTGAAACCTGCGGTGGATCTGGCGGTAAAATAACGCGACGGTAAATTGCTGCATGACCGATTTCACCGCCGCGTTGTGGCAGCTGTACAAAAAAAATAAGTACAGGGCTACAAGGGCACACGGGCCGTATTTTTGGTGGCCCAGAGCTGGGATACTGGCTTGACATGGGGGTGGGAGTAATGGTAATTGTCTATTATTTGAACTTAAAATTATTATGAAAATTATGTACGTTATCGGAAGTAATTATACAGATTAATATTAACATAGCAATCATGATGCATATAAATTTGCCTATAATATAATATTAATATCATTGGCATTAAAAATGCGATATCTATTCTTTAAATTATAAATATACTATTTACTTATCCTATATCTTAGTATTAATAGTATTTATAGTTATCGTATGCCTACCTGGCATTAATTCCAAACTTGGCAATTTCTGGAACTTGAAAACATTTTTCTGTGAAATAATTGTATTTAATATATTTATTATTATTATCATTGTCAAACAAGAAGTTGACAGTGTTTAGTTGCTCTTATTTAGTTTCGCCCGACAGTTGCATAAACGCGTACTTAAACATAATTGTATTTCACAATCATGACGTCTGTTTCAAAAAAAGACAACACGGAAAAATTAATATTGGTTGTCCAAAAACATCCGATACTGTATGATATGACATTGCCAGAATTTAAAGACACCAGAAAAAAGGATCACTTGTGGGACACTGTGATAAGTCATGAAATGAATGGAGTAAACGGTAATATTATTAAAATATTATATTACTATTTTGAATTTCATTTTATTTTAATTAATTTTATAATATGTACTTAGTTGTATGTAATAAATTATAATAATTATACTCACCTAACTATATTTATAAATATATATCATTTTTAAATTGTTATACATTTTATAAGTGCAGTACGTACGTGTATAATTTTTTGAAACATTAAACATGATTTTAACATTTAGTTTTATCATACTTTTCGAAAAAATAATAATTAAAAAAAAATTTTTCTTGAGAATGAAGATTTAATATTCTAAGAGTTAAGAAAATTTACAAATTTTTCCCGTATGCGTAAAGATTCATTAGTTCCTCTTCGATTGTTGTCTTCAATCTGACTAAAGCCTGCGCTTGACTCATCTTCGTCTGAGGTTATATCTACATCACTATTGTTCACGCGAAGATAGTTGTGCAATATACATGTTGCTAAGACAATTTTTTTTGTAGTTTCCTCCTTTACCTCTATTGGTCCTTTGTAAACCCTCCATTTTTTTGTTAGAATGCCGAAAGCATTTTCAACCACACGCCTTGCACGACATAGTCTGTAATTATAATTGTCCAGTCTCGTATCACTTCTTGATAGTCTCCGCGGAAAGGGCTTCATTAAATATGATTTTAGAGCAAATGCCTCATCTCCAATTAAAACCATAGTCGTATCTTCCCTTTGGCCAGGCAATGGTGCATTTTGTGGTACATTTAGTGTACCAGCTTCTAGTCGTTTGCCCATTGTTGACTCCTCTAGAATACCGCCATCTGAATTTCGACCATATCCACCAACGTCAACGCAAATAAATTTATAGTCTGGATCGACTATAGCCATTAAAACAATTGAACATTTTTTTAGATAACAAAAATTTCTGGATCCACTGTTATTGGGAGATTTTATAGTGACATGTTTCCCATCAATGCTAACCTATACAATTGGGGAATTGCCATTTTTCGTAAAAACCTCTTGCAGATTCTTCCCAAATGTTCGTGGTAGGTTCAGGCATAAACATTGGTCCCATAACTTTAATAATAGACTCACTGACCTCTGTGACAATATTACTAACAGTAGAAAACCCGACACGAAAACTATGACCTATTGTCGAAAACGAGTCACCAGTGGAAAAATATCTAAAAAAAAATAAAAATTGTATAAGATATATTTTAAAGTTAAATATTAGATAGATAAATAATAAAAAGTAAAATATTTATTGTATTTAAGAATATTAATTTTTTTTTTAAATTTATATGGTTGTGTCAGGAGAAACTTTAAAAACAAAGTGGAAAAGTTTAAGAGATAATTACCAAAAACATTTAAGAGCAAATAAGACAACTACTGGTCAAGCTGCAGGTGCTACAAAAGGAAAGCACTTGGATACATACAAATATTGGGCCTGGGCAAATCATTTGGAGTTTTTAAAACCCCATTTGAGTTTCGCTAAGTATGTATTTCTATAAATAAATGAATATTTTTTAAAAGAAAAACTTTAATTAGGTATTAAATTAATTGTACGTTGTTTGTGATAAATAGGATTATGATTTATATGTGTTTATATGTTTAAATACAAAAATGTAATAATATAATATATATTTATACGACCAAAATATGTAATATGAAAATATTGTCTTAAAAATTAAAAATTATTTTAAATTATTATATAAAAAATTGATACAAATGTGTTAAGACTTAAAAACAAACTTTTTAATAATCAATTTTATCACAATATTGCGGACCACCTAACTGCACTTTAAAATGTTCTGTAACACATGCAGATAATAAATAAAATAATACTAATAAGTAATAATGATAAAACAAAACATAATATATGTAAATTATTTTTAAAAATAGTTTATAATTTAAATAATAATATTTAGATACCTAATATAATTTTGTTTTTAGCACAATGTCTAATGTTCCAGTAGTACATTCTGAAGAAAGGCTAGACATAGAGGACAGTATTTATGAACACGAAGAAAGCAATGAAAAAATTCCAGAAAAAGGAAAAAAAAGATCACTGGGACGAGAAAAAGTTGATGTACCAATAGAATCTAATGTCGATAAAGTGTTAGAACTTTTGAATAAAAAACAAAAGATCCCACTTGATGCAGTCGAAATGCTTATGTTAAGCCATGCTAAGACAATTAAAACTTTTTCTCCGAAACGACAAGCCATAGCAAAAAAAAGTATTACAGAAATTGTTACAAATTTGGAATTGGAACAGATTGAAGAAAATGAATACCGTCAATATTATCAATCATCTTCACAAACATACCAGCCTACAGATGATGTGCAGTCATACCGGCCTACAGATGACGTGCAGACATACCAGCCTACAGGTGATGTAATTAATTTGTCAACTGCAGACCATGCTAGCAATTATAATATACATAAATTATAATGTATGATTAAAGTGCCATAAAAACTAAAATTGTTAAATTTAAGTGTACATTCAAATTAATTAAATTAAATTTATCAAATGTTCTACCCCTAGCTACTTTTTAATTGTACTAGTATATGTCAAGTGAAATATAATAATTTGGTTTCGTAAAATAAAGTTATAATATTACAAAATCATACCTTAGTGAAATCGCTAGCCGTTCCGATGGTGGTATTGGATTACGAAAGTTTGTTGGCATTTTTTGAATGTCATCGATAATCCATCCCAAAACTTGATCAAAACACTTTGGAGTCATTCTAAAATATATGTGAAACCTTTCTGGGTCCTTTCTTAATTCAGGCATTAGAGTACAATACTCGCCAGATACCTCTCGTTCCTTATTAATACTATGGACCCAACATTTTCTTTTTTTCTTTCTATAACAAAGTATATTTATTTAATTGTTTTAAATTACAATTAGGTATAATATAAAGTAAAAATACCTTTTACGTTCTTCATCATCTGCCACTATTTCTGCCAAAAGTAAAATTTCGTCATCTTCGGATTCCGATGATAAATATACGTCCATTGTATATTTGAACGTAGTAATGGATACACGAATATTATGCGATTTAATTAAAACTTTTTAAACACGCGCCTTCGACAGTCGAACGTGGTATGAAATTATGGTATGGGTTCACATGTAAACAATTACTGCTCTTATCACAAGATAAAATTAATGAATTATATTTAGCCATTCAAACTCTATATATTTACATATAATTTTATTATTACCTGTGGAGTTCTTAAATATTTATATATATATAAATATTTACCTACAGCTTACAGTGATGCTTGTTCCTCACCTTCTCCTCTTTCCCTTTTTATTTTGGGTCAGTCAATGCAGTTATTATTATTCTACTATACTAACTACTTCTAGCTATATTAACTATATTATAGACTTCCTAATGACTTACAAATCTATTACCCAATCTAATATATGATTATTTTCCTATTGCACATACGGCCATACGTCGTACCTACTCGTAATTATATAGTAATGACTAATGAACAAATAATAATTAATTATATTATTTATAATTTTTGGTTACAATATTGTGTTAAGTTTATCGGAAAAAACTTTTAAAAATTTAAAGTTTATAAAAAAATCAGGTCACCGCCACCGCCACCGCGGCAGTGTGTGGGGACCTTAAGTGGTGTTCAACGTAGTTTTCACAAAAATTGGTATGAACAATTTACATGGCTTGAGTATAGTCCAAAAAATGATTGTGCATTTTGTTTTCCTTGTCGAGTATTTAAAAATTCTTCCGGAATCAATGTTGGGCAATCAGATACTACATTTTCAAAAAATGTTTTTAGTAATTGGAAAATGGCAAGTCAAAAGTTTAAGTTACACCAAACTTCTAGATCACATTTGAACAGTGTTACATCAATGGCGGATTTTATAAATTCCAAGTCAATAGATTTGCTTTTAATGGAAGTAAACAAAAAGTTGCAAGGGGTATGAATAGTATTGAAAAAATCTATGAAAATGTACTTTTGTATTTCCAATAATATGGTTTATTAAGCGGTTTGAGAGTAAAAACACCTATTATCAATATTGTAGAAGAGAAGTTAATCTGTGCCTGTATAGAAGTCAATTTTTGATATTTGTAATAACTAAGCTCAATAATTCAAATTCAAAAAGTAAAATATCACAAGTTTTAGAGTAAAATATTGGACATTGAAAATAAAATATCGAAAATCGACTCCTATACAAGCCTAGATAAACTTCTTCTCTTCAATTTATATAATAGGTGTTCATACTGTAATGTCACTCAGTAAGCTATATTATTGGAAATACGAAAAAAAGTTTCAGTGTTTCACTAAAGTTCACATTTGTAATTAGAGTGTAAAATGTTCCATTAATGCCATGTGCGTGCACGTGAGGGTGTGATCCACTATTTATTTTATACACAGTCACTCACACTAATAATCACGTCTTACTACGCACACATTTACATGACCCACATGCACACCATTAGAAAATTGCCTATACCGAACTCCTTAGAAACGGTCGGTATGCATACCCCTTAATGAAAGGGGGAAAAAAATAACAACCGATGTATAATACATAGACTTATAGATATAACATTGTGCCTTGGTATTGGAGGAAAACCATTTCGTGGACACAATGAAAAAGACACTGATGTCCATAGAGGGCTTATTTTGGATTTGGTCAGACTTTTAAAAAAATACGATTCTATTTTAAAGGAACATTTTGATTCTGGACCCCGTAACGCATTATATTATAGAAACCGCATACAAAATGATATTATTGCATCAATAAACACAGTGTTAAAAAATAAATTGAAATGTGTTATAAAAAATCAACAAATTTCTATAATTGCTGATGAAACCTCCGACACTGGTCACCATGAGCAGCTTTCAATTGTGATACGGTATTATGACAGTATTAAAAACTGTCCAGTAGAACAGTTTGTGTGTATGAAGAGGCTATTATCTACTGATGCACAAAGTATATTTAATTCATTATGTGAAATAATTGAACAATATGACATTCAATGGCAATTAGTTTCATCAGTTTGTTTCGATGGTGCTGCTTCAATATCAGGTAGTTTGAATGGAGTGCAGGCCAAATTTAAAGAAAAAAAATGATAAAACAGTTTTTGTGCATTGTTATGGACATTGCCTCAATCTTGTTTTAGTTGATTAATTGGGAATACAAAATAGAGTAACATTCGATTTTTTTGGCCCTGTACAATTAATTTACAACTTTATAGAAAATAGTTGTACAAGACATGCAACACTTGAAAAAGTAGCTAACTCTGCAAATATAAAATTAAAAACATTAAAATCTGTATCAAATACACGTTGGGCTTGGTGCTGAGGCTATCTCTGCTGTAAAATCAGACTATGGCCCTATATTGATTGCCATAAAAGAAATTGGTGATGCTACGAAACAACCAGATGTTAGAGCCAAAGCACTTGGATTAATTCATCAGATTAAAACTTTTGATTTTAAATTTGCTCAACAGATGTTACATACAATCTTGACTCTTATTTTAAATTTGAGTATGGCTTTACAAAGTTCAAATTTGGTTCTTATAACCACAGTTTCTCTCATAAATTCATTAAAACTATCTTTAGAGTCTCTGAGAAATGATGAAGATTCATTTTCAAATATATACAATGAGACTCTAGAAATGTGCAAAGATAATAACATTTCCATTCCTGATGTGAAGAAAATACTAACATTCTAAAATTGATTGTAATGAAACACAGTACATTATATCAACAAAAAAAGATGAAATTAGGATAAATGTGTATTTTGATGTAATGATTTCAAGTATAAGTGTGCGCTTCAAACAAGAAACATTAAATGTAATTAAAAATGTTGGTAGTATGCTCAAATTAGAAACTAATAATGAAGATACAAAAATAATTGCTTCAGCTTTTAATTTGGATTTTCGTGAGTTAGAATCAGAAATTATTTTGCTAAAAAGAATGGAAAATACACCTAAAGGAAGTAATCAAAAAGCATGTGAAGAATGGATACAATGGTTGACAAATTATAATTCTGATAGAGCTGCCATATTTAATAATTTTTTCAAATCTATTAAATCATTTGTAGTTATACCAGTGACAAGTTGCTCATGTGAGCGTTCCTTCTCAAAGCTGAGTCTCGTAAAATCAAAATTGCGAAGCACAATGGGGCAAGATCGGTTAGATGGACTTCTGACTATGTTCATCGAACAAGATATGGCTTATAATATATATGTAGATGAAGTTATCGAATATTTCAAAATCAACACACCAGCCTAGAGGCGTATTGAGTTATAAATTTATAATAAAAACATGTTTAATATGTTTATTATACAAAATAGTATTGTTAAATTTTTTCTTATTAACTAATTTTGGTATATTACATTATATTATTACTTATAAAATAATTTTTCACTATGATAAATGCAGTTAAATAAAGTTACCTATCAAAATTGTTTTATTCATGTTAAATGTCATGAGTAATATATCATGTATGACTACCCAGCCAGTAATGTCTGCGCATGCTTATGCATGTTTGCATGCATATTTTACAATTTAAATTGCACATAAATCCGGTCTTTAGTCATAAGCATAATAGACAACGGTGCAAACGTTATCAAGCGTTAAAGGAGGAGTTAAATTCATACATCTCACAGTAATTTCTTTTAATATTTAGGGTGGGTTGCATAAACGTTCATTAGTGATTTATAGAGCCGTTAACGCACTAACGATCCGTTAAAAAAAATTGGGTGTTGCTTGAACGACTGTTAACGTTAACGGGTCTGTAAATTATCGGCTATTGGACCTGTAAACTACAGGTCCGATTTTGGTTCGTTAACTTTTAACGATCCGTTAAATATGGTGATAAGAAATATTAAAATTTCTTATCAGCCACATTTTTTTTTTTAATAGTATTAATAATATAATCAGCAATCATTGTAATCAAATTAAATGTGGTATAATTTATTTGGTAGTTATTGTTATCAATAAAATACCAAATAATAATAATCTTTTATGAAACTCATTTTTATTTTTTACAAGCCGTTAACGAGTTAACGAGTGATTATGTTACAGGTCCGTGAAAACATTTACAGACTGGTCTTTATGCAACCGGGCACCGGCCCTTAGTGTTTAATTATTTAAGTACCTATGGTTTCAGCATCATTTCATCCTCTAGTGGTTCTACCAATAGTAGGGGAATGCCACCTGTCACTTCTCTAAATTTTGGGTGGTTGGGTAATTAATACTTAGCATGTACTAGAATTAATTAAAAACTAATATAAAAATGATGGGCATATTGTGGGTACCGATCTGCTTTGATGGATGTGTTAAATTTGAGTTAACTGGCATAAAAACATTGTATATGCCAACAGCCAGCCTACATTACTATTTACTATAGTCTATAAGTAAATTGTATCTGTATAATATAATTGATATTAAAGTAATTTATTTATAGCAACAGTAGGTTACATTTTGACAAAAACATTTAATTTATATACTTTGCAAGTTTCAAATGGTATCCACGAATCATGTTTTTAAATTACAAAAAAATTATTGAAATCGTTTTTCATCCTTTAAATATCTAGGTATCTAAGTATCTAACTTTGTCTATATTTGAACTTCAAATTCTATAAAAAAAAAAATTAAATGAATATGAGACATGATTATAATTTGGCAACCTACTGATTTTTTTGATTTTTTTATATGTGTGTTTTTGAATTCTTTGTAAAAAAAAAATTTCGAACAAACTTCGTCTTGAAGTTGTCTGTGAAAAATTTCAAAAAGTACAGTTTTTTCGTTACGCGTATTTTTATTTTTTATAATACTTCAAATTGAATATTTTTAATTTTTTTTTTTTAAATGTGGTTTTTAACGCTCAAAAGTTTGGTAAATTCAAAACATATCTATCCTACTTACTTTTGAAATTTTTACACGTACCTGAACCTCAAGAAATAACATTTTCAAATGTTATCTAAAATTTGTTTTAAAAATAGCTGAAAATGAATGTTTTTAATATTTTTATTCTAACTTCCTATATTCGATTAAAAAGTTTTTAGTGAAGTCAGAATTAGTTTATCTGGCTTAGTTCCAGATTTTAAACGTTGCTTATTTGTGGATCGAAAAAGTGTCCATCGAATTTATTGGAAATCAAATTAATATTGTTCAATGTTCGGCAATCCGCCGGGAAGTTATATTTGACGGGATGATATTACAACACTGTAATGGGATTACGTAATATCATGTATTTGCTCATAAAAACAACCAGGAATGCGACCACACCCAAAAGTGTTTACGACTAGAATACCACTTTTAGTCGTGAGGTCCGAATCATATCAAGGACGACTGTACACGAGCTACCCGCTTTCAAAGGACGCCGCCACCATATATATAGGGGACAGCGAGACAGCCTGAGTAGATGTATCCAGAGACATGAACAACACACGACTCGCTTAGTCGCCAGCCATCACACATAATTACATGGAGATTATCAATTCTAGAACGAGCTACAATTCACTCAACTACACAATCAACACGACTGTTCTGCTTATTTTGTCTGGCTTAATAAAATACATTTGATTACTATACTAATTTGACTATTGTTATTTATAAAAGTACATCAGCTTTTGGATCCCTGAAGGGCCGTACGTAACAACACCAAAAAATCGTAGAAGAGTAGATACTCTATTTAGTTTATAACGGTCGAAGCGAACGTAGTAATAAATCGATACCTAAGAGCACACATGTGCTATGTCCAAATTTGGCATAATTGAGATATTAGCATCGTTAAAATCGTGGTACGCAATATAATCAAGTGCACATACGTTATATGTCCATTTCATGATAAAAATAAATAGAAAACACGTTAAAACGAAAAGGTTAAGTCCTCGATATTCCGTTTATTGTAGTGCACACAAATCTTAAGTCCATGCTATGTCAAGGCTGTGTACAAAATTACGAGCTCAAATGTGCTATGTCCAAAAATATACCGCGGGTACGAGATAAACATCAAAATAGACTCAACGGGATTTCCTATTTATGTGGTATTAGATAGTCGACGAGTGAAAATAATAATATTATTATTATTCTTGAGTTAGATTGCATCGTCGACACTGTCGCACAGCACACTATACTGTTAATAATCAAAACGAATATTATATTAATTTTAATATTATTAAAATACGCATATTGGTTATTCACGTTTTGTTAATTAAGTGATTCAGGATTTAAAATAGTAGGTAAGTTTTTGTATGAAAATGAGTCTTAATAATAATAATATTATTGAACAATGGTTGGATGAAGTGTCAAATGAGGACGATGAAAACGCTACAATAGATAATGGACAGAACTTAGTTGAAGGTAAGCAATTGAATTTTTATAATTATAATAGCGTAAAAATAATTACTTCAGTTGATAATTTTAATTTGATTATTTATAGATATAACATTTGAGAATAACGTAGTTTACGAATATGAAGTAGGTGAAAATGGACTATTGACGTTTGCCGAAACTTTCAATAATGAAAATGGTAAATTAATAATTAATGTAGTAATGGTTTTACCTTTTATTTATTTAATTATAATGCAAGTAGAATCTAATAACTATTGATAAACGATGTTTAAATTGTAAATAGTAAGTTTTTGATTGTTATGAATGTTATGATAGATAAATTCGATAAACTACTGACTGCTGTCGATCCAACAATTGTTGATGTGGAAGTAACTGAAACAATTCTTAAGTGTTCTAATTCAAATAATGATCGGACCGAACCAACTAAAGAAAAAGATTATGGTAATTCAAGATATTTACTTTTTAATTCATTATTAATAATTAATAAACTTTTAATAAATAACTTACTAACTCACCCAACCTAAATAATATTTTTTTAAATTGATACTTTATAGGTATAACATTTGAGGATAACGTAATTTACGAATATGAAGTAGGTGAAAATGGACTATTGACGCTTGCCCAAACTTTCAATAATGAAAATGTTAAATTAATAATTAATAAAGCAATTGTTTTACTTTTTATTTAATTATTTTATTTATTTCATAATAATGCAAGTAGAATCTGATAACTATTGATAAACGATGTTTAAATTGTAAATAATAAGTTTTTGATTGTTATGAATGTTATGATAGATGAATTCGTTAAACCACAGACTGCTGTCGATCCAACAATTGTTGATGAGGAAGTAACTGAAACAGTTCGTAATTGTTCTAATTCAGATAATGAGCAGAGTGAGCCAATAAAAGAAAAAGATGATGGTAATTTAAGACATTTAATAAATATTTTATTTTTAATTTATTCATAATAAATAAACTTTTACTAACCTACCCTATATAATATTTCTAGCAGTCACAAGAAAACGAAAAGGTTTCGCAGATCCAAGTGAATGGGCAAAGAATAAACGCAAACAGAATAGAGCAGTTGGAAAAATGTATGTTGATCGAAAAGGTAAGGTTGGACCTGAGAAAGAGGTCAAGTCCATCGATTGTAAGTGCCGATATTCATGCAAAAACGTTAGTGCTGCACAGCAGAAAAACTCGTTAAATGAATATTGGAGTAAAAGTGATACTGGCCGACAAAAAGAGTACATCGGCCACTTAATCAACGAAATGCCCATCGCTAGAAAGAGAAAAAGAAATGAAAATTCAGGAGTTGAAAAAAAATATAGCAGAGTATATAGCTTACCTGATGGACAAGGGAACAATGTTCGAGTATGCCTCCCATTATTTTGCGCTACATTTTCAATTTCTAAAACAGTCATCAACGACGCTCTATTTAACAGAAGTTCAAATGGATTCTACAATGGAAGGGATAAAAGAAAAGGGAAACCCGCCCATAATGCAACACCGGCAAACAAAGTTAACAAAGTCCGTAATTTCCTCAACGAAATTCCCAAAGTGCCTTCCCACTACTGTAGGAAACGGAGCTCACGGTTATATCTGCCACCTGATTTATCTATTGCAAACCTTTATGAAATGTACAGCAAAAAAGAAAACTCTGAAGCAGTGAACATGAACGTTTTTCGCAAAATTTTCAAAGAATTCGAGCCACCGTTGGCTATCTTCCTGCCCAAGAAAGATCAGTGTTCTGTATGCAATGTAGCAGAACGTACAAAAACCACGGAATCCGACGAGAACTATAAAAAGCATAGGGAGAGGAAAGAAAACATCGCAAATATGAAAAATAAAGATAAAAACGAAGCAGAGATTTCGGAAACTATGATTTATGCTAGCTTTGATTTACAGGTTGTATTAACTTTGTCGTACGCCGGTGATGCCCAAATCTATTTTTCCAGAAAGCTCTCCGTTATGAACTTTACAGTTTATGACTCTAGAAAAAAAGGTACATGCTATTTGTGGGACGAAACCCAAGGGAAAAAAGGAAGTGCGGAAATTGGAACCTGTTTATTGAAATATCTTAAAAGTCTCCCAGGTGAAATTGTGCATGTTGTATTCTATGCAGATACGTGCGGTGGACAAAACCGTAACCAAAATGTTTTTGCTGCTTTGCTGTATGCTGTAAATACGGTTGGTAACATCAAAGCAGTTGACTTAAAGTTTATGGAAAGTGGGCACAGCTATCTGGAGGCAGATAGCATCCATGCGACGATTGAAAGATATAGACGACATCGGAATTTATATGTGCCGAGCGATTATAAATGTTTAATTGAAATTTGTAGGAAAAAACCATTTCCCTATGAAGTCTACCAAAATCGATTTGATGATATTTATGATCTTCAGGACTTGAGTACTAAAATAGTGACGAGCAGAAAAAAGAACGTTAAGGGCAAAGCTGTGAAAATTCAGTAGGTTATAAGTATGACGTATCTGCAGAAAATTTTGAGTACATGAACGTAAATGATAAAAATATGTTATGGGAATCCATTAATATTCCCAAAAAATATAATGAACAACTTCCAGTGTCTTTGGCCAAAAAAAGAGACCTTATGAACCTCATCAAAAAAGGAGTTATCCCTCAAGACTACTTTTCCTTCTTCGACAATTTACCATCAGCTAATGGAATTAGAGACCAAGCATTATGGAATTTAGACGACGAGCAAGAAACTTTGGACGAACATTAAAGTTAACTAAGTATAACATTTTTAATTAATTTTTTTAACTAATTTTTATTTTTTAATTCTTTCATTGAAATGTTAAAATTAATTTTTACATAATACTTATTTGTGTTCTGTTATTTTATAATGTAATTTTTAAAAACAATAAAAAAACAGTTTTGATATTTGATATTATAATTTTTTAATTTTCAGTTTTATGTCCATGTTGAAACTGTATCTTTTGTGTACAGAAGTCCTATGTCCGACTCTTAATTTAATTTAATTGATTTTCAAAGTAAAAGTAACTAAAACCGCCTTTTTTAATTCAAATACTTCATAATTACTATTTTATTTTGGATAGTAATTATAATAAAAAGGAATATTAGTTATAGTTTTAAAGCTATGCATGCAACAAAACTTCTTTAGTGATTTGCCAAAAATGAGGAAAATGGGACATGTGTGCTCTTAGGTATCGAAATAATAACCAGAGATTTTAAATAACCTAGATAACTAACTCGCCGTTATCATTGAAGCCACAACACACCGGCCAACTGATAATGCCGCCATTTGCAAAAAGGTCAATTTGTCAATATCGTGTAATGAATCATTACTAATGATGTACCTACTGTCAGAGACTGACTTTAAATTTAAGTCATAAATAATTTAAAATCTTTGTGTACTAGTGAAAAGTGAAAACAAAATAATTTAGTTTCGATTTCAATCGTGCCATTTGCCTGTGCAGCTTATGGCTGTAGTAATAGGCGTAAACCTGATGGCGGGTTGTCATTTTTTGGGTGAGTTAGTAATGATATATTATATTAATAATTGTACTAATAAATAAGGAGTGATTAATGGAAAAATTGTGTGATTTTATTATTTTTTAATTATTTAATATTTTTTGTTAATTATTAAATATTTATTTTACAGGTTTCCTTTGGGCAATCCTGAGCTATTAAAACAGTGGTTACAGGCAATGAAAAGAAAACAATTTACTCCTTCACAATATTCCAAAATTTGTAGTGAACATTTTTTATCTAGTGACATTTTAGATAGACCTGGTACATACAAAAAACATTTAAAACCAGATGCTGTTCCGACTGTATTCCCTGCTATGCCTTCATATTACCAACCAATTTCTAAAAAGCCTAGACGTATAGTTCAACGTACAATACCAAAAGCAGTCACTGTATTGAGAAGTAATGAGAACCATCAAGTTATGTCATCAATTAATGAAAATACCACTGAAGTTGAAAATTGTACAAGTGTATCAACTGAAAATCAAAATCTTAAAATTGATAAAAGTGTTCAAACTGAAGAAAAGCCTCTAGATCACACTGTTATTGCTCTGAGACACAAAGTAAAAATTGTACAACAAACATTTAGGAGGCAACAGTTAAGAATATCAAATTTGAAAGATTTAACAAGATCCTTAAAAAAGAAAGGTTTTGTTGATGATTCAGTTGAAAATGTATTACTTGATCAATTTGATGGTATGACATTAGAACTTTTTAAGAACCAGCTTAAAAATGCTAAAAAGCTTTTGCATGGACGTAGATATACTGATGAGTTTAAACGGTTTGCTTTAACATTGCATTATAATTCCCCTAAGGCTTATAACTTTTGTAGGTAATTTAACACGCTATTTTTTGCTTTCTTATTATTTTAAGTACCTAATAATTAAAAACAATTACAACTCTATATATTTGTATGCTTGTATTATGCTTATATGAATTATACAATGGTTAGTTTATACTGGTATATTGGTAAAAACCACTTAAAAAATATTTATTTATTTTATAATTTATAATAAGTAATACTTGTTTTTTTTTTGTATTATTATTTATTTTAGAAGTATAATAACATTGCCACACCCATCATCGATTTCTAATTGGACATCTACAGTCAACGCTGAACCTGGTTTTTTTAAAGAAGTTTTTGAAGCTCTTCAGTCTTTTCCAACAGAAGACAAAGATTGTAATTTGGCTCTCGACGGGATGTCAATTAGAAAACAAATTCTTTGGGATTCAATAAATGAAAAATTCATTGGATATTGTGACTTTGGAAATGATTAGCAGTTACAAAATGTAGATACTCCAGCTACAGAAGCTCTAGTGTTTATGTTAGTATCAATTAATGGCAAATGGAAATTGTCTGACAGTGTAGGTGTAACACCTGAACATCCTTACTTTAATATTGGATCTCAGGAAGTTATTTATATGTTTGATCCTCCTCACTTGCTTAAATCGACAAGAAATAACTTTTTTAAATACAGATTTGTATCTGATGATAAGATTATTGAAAGCAAACATCTAAAATCATTTTATGAAGCTGATAATCAACGCACTCACCGCCTGGCACCTAAATTAACGGAAACACATATTAATCCAGGCCCATTTCAAAAAATGAAGGTCAAGTATGCTGCACAAATTTTTAGTAAAACAGTTACCAGTGGTATGAGTGTGTGTATAACAGATAAATCACTTCCACCTGAATCTAAGGATACAATTTTGTTCATAGATTCAATGGATAATCTGTTTGATATCTTCAATTCAAGGCCTACTTCAAATTCTAATGAATCAGACATTGAATTGGAAGATGAGCCAACTGGTCTAAAACGTTTTTGTTTTCCCTATGATGGTTCTTCCTATCAGAATAATTTCTTACTTTCTATGTTCAATTTCTTCAAAAACTTGAAAATTCAGAAGTATAATGTTGTAAGACACCAGTGGGTGGATGTTGTGAAGAGTTACAACATAACATTTTTAAAAGGTTGGATGGTTTCAATTGCTGGTCTTATACGCTTGTATACAAATTTACCTTTAAATTATGATGATTTGAAGTTATTTACGAGAAGGTTAAATCAAGATTGCCTAGAAAATTTGTTTGGCACTATTCGTATTCAAAATGGTAATTGCATAAATCCAACAACTATACAGTTCCAACGTTCTTTCAAAAAATTATTTTGTTTAAGTTATTTTGAATACAATGATGGAGCAAATTGTATATAAGATTTAGATAGCGTTTTAACCAATATGAATAATACACCAGCAGAACAGTTAAAAATAATTTTTCCTGAGAAAAAATGCGTTGTTCAAATAAATAAGTTAAGCGTTGATGGTAGACATTATAGGTCTTTGGCGTTGCCAGAAAAAAATGCATTCATATACATATGTGGTTATTTAATAAGTAATTGCTTAAAAATTCATTCTTGTGATTCATGTTTGGAATATGCTCGATCTACATCAGAACTTTCCAGTGAACACTTTTTCACCTACTTTAAGTCACATCAACAGGATTCAACTTCAATATTTTCTTCATTAATGACTCCAGATTCAAATTTTTGCCAGTATGTGTATCAATTGGACCAAATATTCACTAATAACTTTCAACAATTGTTGCCATTACCAAAAGTTGGAGAAAAAATTAAAAATTTGATGAGTTTTGTATATTTTGAGCATAATTGTCCTCAGTTTCCCAAATTTATTTATTGAATTTATTTATTAGATTCAGAATTTATACCACTATAAGCAGAACCAACAGATCTCTTAAAGGCCCTAAGCCTAAAAACAGAAAACTCCAAATTTTGTGTAATTTATAAATTACATTATATGTATAATGTAATGTATTTTTAAATGTGATACTTGTGTAAACTAATCTTCTTAGGGCCGATTTCACCAACACAGTTAATCACGATTAACGTTAACCGGAGTTTTAATCGGCCGAATTTGGCCGGTTAAATATCTGTTATCAGCCGATTAAGCGTTAACCGTGATTAACTGTGTTGGTGAAATCGGCCCTTAGTCTCTAAGATCATGATTTAATATTATTATTATTTATGTGTATTTTTATTATTATTTTGTGTAAATAATTATATATTTATATTCAAAAATCTATTTCTATTTTGGATATTTATTTTTATTATTCAACCTTGACAACTCCTTTTTCTTTATGTATTAATAAAATATTATCATAGTATTCTATGATATTATTCTTGATAAATTAACTAGGTGTGTTATAAATTAAAACATGATTTTCTTTGTAAAGCAGAATGGGCCGTTCTGTATATTATTTCCGCTGGGTTGCTACTGAATAATTATATCGTGTATGGCATTGTTGAATATATAATTTTTATGTTCAATTATTAATCAATAAATAAGAAAGATTTCTTAATAATAAATAGGTAGAATGGTTAAACTAGTCAGCTTCTTATAGATTAAAGACGTTTTGGCAATGTTAAGTATAAACAGAGTTAGTATTTTACAGTTCTTACAATTGAGTCCAATTTAAACAGTACAAGAAATGTCGCTATAACATTTTGAAATCTACTGGAGCAAATTCAATATTAATATTATATGATAATTTACATACTGTTTTTAATCAACAAAAAATAATTACACATTAAAATGGTCCTTAAAAATGTATATATATATATATATATTTTTTTTTATTGATCAAAATAACATTGACAGTAAAGGCTATTAGTTAATAAAATTATATTTTATAATGTAAATATTGTATTTCTTTTCTTGATATCCCATTAAATAGACAAACTAAAGTTATTCAAATTATTTTGAATGGCGGGAAATTATATAGATAGGTTTGATAATATTCTATGGTTGATGTTGTGAACACAGCGGGAGAACATGAAGTTATGCACCTTATCAATTTGATTCAGGCAGAACAAAGGATTTCGGGAGAGTGTCGTTTCTATAGTATTCTATGTTATTACTATCATTATTATTATCTTATTGGACGCCTAGTCGTTGTTAAGCAGTAGTAGTCCAGCGGTATGTTGTAGCCCGTGGTGATCGTCGCTTATTATATTGTTTGGTATTCTTATAATTATTAATTGTGTTTTATGCCAGGTGGTCCCGATAGTGGCGGGATACTGGTGAAGTGTTGAGTATATTTTTATATTCATTAATTAAGTGTGATATTGTTTTTTTTGTAATATGCAATAAATGTTAATTCGAATAACTACATTCATATATATTTTTGTTGTTCTTGTTTTAAGTGCCCTCTGACCTACACAAATAATATTTAGAATATTTTAAGGTTCCTAAAATACTACCCAAGACTGCAGTAAAAGTCCATTTACCTTCTTATTAGAATTTATAAAATAATAATTAATATGCATAAATTAATTATAATATTTTGTTAATATATTTGTATAGGTACACATAACACAAACACATATACAATATATTATGATTTTATAATTAACCTACATTATTAAGAATAAAAAATAATAATTGCATGTTGCAATTTATTATAAAGCACGTAGCTCTAATTATAATTGTTATTGATTATTTTTATTTGCATATTGCATATTGCTATTTATCCGGCAAAACCATTGAACTATTATTATAATTATATAATATAGTATATAGTTCAATGGGCAAAACAAAATAAAGTAACTCTACGTACTACTAGCGCCCTACGCTAGTGGTAGAAATGTGTACCAGTCAACCGTAACACTTCCGGACCGCTTGGTTGGCGGGCGGCATATAAGCAAACCATACATTGCTAGAGACCCATAGGAAATAGAGAGCTCTCATTGGTCCTATTACATTTGTGATAACATGATAAAATTATCAATATTTTCAAATTTTATACTTTTTCTAATCAGAATAGATTTGTTAATTTACATTTTTAATTATTTAATAAAATGATTTATCCACCATCATTCAAATATGAAATTGTCAAAGATGACAATATAAATATAACATTGAGATGTGATGTGAAATCTATGGAAGACATCAATGTGTGGGTTGCTGAGTTTGGTAAAATAAATTATTTAAATTGGAACGTTAGAACTAGTGTTCCAAATGGGCAGCGAATTGTGTGTTCGTAAGTATTTTATATTGTATTTACATTACTATTTATGTTGTAGAAATCTTAACTAAAAAACATCTTTAAACATTTTTTAGAAAAAACTTTGTTTGTCAACATAGTGGATTTCAGAAGCCTAGTATATCTGAAAATCAAAAAGGCCGTTCAAAAAATGCTGAATGTCCAGCTAATGTTAAGGCTGTTATTAAACTGGACACAGTATCTACAAGGAAGAAAGATCCATTTATTAAGGTATTTATAAATTCAATTAAACTCATAATTAATTTTTTTGTCTTTTTGTTTAGCTTGTGAATTTGTCCAGATCATCTATGGTAATATATTATTCTGATACTATTTTCATTTTCATTTTCGCAATTAGTTTTTTTTTTTGCAGACTCCAAATATGTGTTAAATTTGTGAAATAAATATGAATTCTACATTTTTACAGATTGATTGACAAGTCATAGTAAAATAAGGCCATAACATTTCTAAGATTTTAAAATGTAAACAATTTATGTTATGTCTGACTGATAAAAATAAATTGGTACTTTAAATTTGTGTTCATTATTTACTAACAAATAATACAGACTGTATTATACAGTCTTCATTGTATTACACTGTATATAGGTACTTTAATGATGTGATTTAAAAATTAACAACACTTAATATGTACTTAACAATTGGTAATAAGAAATAATAATACAAGCTTTACAATAAATAGATATTTAATATTTATATTACAGAAAGGTTTAGTATGTTGTATAGAAATATATAATCATCATACCCATACTATAAAATCTGCTGAAAGTCTCAGATTTATTCCGGCTGGTGATGATGTAAAAAATATGTTTTATGAGTATTTTGATTCTGGAATGGGTATAACCATTGATTATATAATACACAGATAAGCAATGCCATAGGAATATTCGTTGACTAGAATTATAGTTGAATTTATTTTCACGAGATGTCGCTGTTGCATTTGTGACCACTATTAATTAATATATTGAATGATATCAATGGTATAACCTGGTATAACCATTGATGACAATTTAATATTATATTATTATATAATACAACAGACCACGGGCCACGAGTTTACTGACTGTCTTCAAAATATAATTTATAAACTAAATAGGAAATACTCATATTCTGTAGACTGTTGTAACTTGAACATTAAAGAACATAAATCAATACATCAATAGTGAGTTATTGAATGGAATTTTCTTGTATAAGGTGAGTGAATCACTATTCACTATATATAGGTACCTATATTTTGTATATTTGAATCAAATTAATTATTTCATTTAAATTATAATAAAAATTTTTTTAACATATAAAATACAATTTGTCCTAAAATTGTCAACAATTTATATAAATGTAAATACAATTTAGTAGGTTAACAAATAATATCTACACTAATGCTGGGTTGCATGAACAATTACTAAACATATTTTAATGAATCAATAGTGAGCTAATAGAATAGGTAGCTTAAAAAATTAATAATCAAATAATAATAAATTGGTCCATTAAATTTTATTGAATCATTAAATATTAATAAATTGTTCATGTGATAACTCCATAAATGTCATAATATTGTAATGTATAAAATAATAGTAATAACAGGTAATATAAATAAAATTGAGAGGTAAGTAAGAAAAATTCACTAAACGTTATAATACTGTTATGTTAATAATAATAATGTTTCAATTAAAATATAAAATTCAATAGTTTATAGGTATAATCATTGATTATATAATACACATAATTAATATATCAATTTGTCAAAATTAATAAAAATATAAATTTAAAAACTATTTATGAAAATAAAATTGGATTAAATATGATTTAAAATTTTTAATTTAGCTATTTTTGTCTGGGTTGATGTTGTTGAAAATAATTTAGCTGTTTTAAAAATTTTGCATATCAAAAGTTTTTCTAAAATAAATATTTTATGTTCTTTACACATTATATTTTCATCATCAATCCATTTATTAATAACAAAATCCTTATAAAAAATTGACATCAATTTTGATTTTATTTTTTTTTTATGTAAAATATTTTTAATTTTATCTTCAAAAATAGTAAGAGCTTTATTTATTATATTATTAAAATCTTTTGATGGTGCTTTCAATCCTATATCGTTTTGAATTTCTAAATAAGTATAATTTTTGTTTAATAATAATAATTGGTTTTTATCGTCAATGTTTTTGTTTGTCAACAGATAATTGATACAATTTGTACAGTTAAATTGTGCAATACATCTATGAGCCAAATATCCTGCAAAGTATAATACTGAACAATCTTCTAATGTTATCGGTTCTTCTTCTTTAATTTCTATATTATTTAAAGATGTTGATGTCAACAATGATAATGATGATGGCGTAGGTGACGATAATGTTGATGGTGTTGGTGAAGACGATGATGATGATGATGATGATGATAGTGGATCTTGAGGAGGTAATTCAACGACTAAGCTAACCTGTTCTTGCAACTGAATTTCATCCAAATCTTCTATATTTGCTTTGCAGTTAGTTCCTTTTGAAGTGACCAATGAAAAAATACAATTACTTCGAAACGATGTTCTCAAAGTCCTAGCAGTAGGATTTTTGTTGTACCCCCCTTTTTGACGGAAAATACTAAAGAGATTTTCTAAAATGTC